GATGTTGAGAAAAAAATGAAAATAGAAACCGATGCTTCTGATTACGCAACTGGAGCGGTTCTATCTCAATTGATGGAAGATGACCTATGGCACCCCGTGGCGTATTACTCTAAGTCAATGAACGATGCAGAAAGAAATTATGACATCCATGACAAAGAGTTACTCGCAATCATTCGAGCGTTGGAGGAGTGGAGGCACTATGTGCAGGGAAAACCTCACCATGTGGAGATCTGGACGGATCATAAAAATCTCGAGTACTTTATGACGAGCCAAAAGTTGACAAGAAGGCAAGCCAGATGGAGTTTGTTCCTGGCGGAGTATGAATTTACGCTCCAACATAAGCCTGGTGTAGTCAACGATAAGGCCGATAAGCTTTCTCGGAGAGAAGACCACAGAGGGGGGGTAGAAAACGACAATTCTGATCGTATTTTGTTAAAACCGGAGTTTTTTACTGTGAAAGCTGCTAAAAGAGGTCAAGTTCTAGTGCAAGGAGAAAAACAATTGCTGAGAAAGATAAGGCAATGCACAGAACGAGAGCCCGAAGTCGCTAAGGCGCTACAAACGCTAAAAGCAGCACCGGTACAATTGCGTAGAGGAGTCGAAGAATGGAATGTGGAGGATGGATTGGTGTTGTTCCGAGGACTGGTTTACGTTCCAAATGATAAAGAGATCCGCCGAGAGATATTGGAGTTGTTTCACGACTCTCCACCGGCTGGACACCCTGGACGTGCCAAAACCTTAGAACTGATTTCCAGAAATTATTGGTGGCCTTCAATGACGAAGTATGTCCACGATTACGTAGATGGCTGTGATAGATGCAGAGCAACGAAGATTCACCCAACGCAACCACATGGTCCGCTTAAACCAAATGAAATACCAGCGGGACCTTGGCAATCAATCACTTGTGATTTGATAGTAGATTTGCCTAAAAGCGAAGGGTTCGATTCTATTTTTGTTGTCGTTGATCGATACACGAAACAAACGCACATCATGCCTACGAAAAAGGAAGTTGACGCTCGAGGAATCGCGAAACTTTTCTTAGATAACGTATGGAAACACCATGGAACTCCGAAACAGGTGATATCGGACAGAGGAACACAATTCGTCTCCAAGTTTATGGGACAAGTGTCGAAACACCTAGGCATAAAATGGAACATGTCAACGGCTTATCATCCTCAGACAGACGGACAAACAGAGAGAATAAACCAAGAAGTAGAGCAATATCTGAGAATGTTCACGTCTTACCGCCAAAATGATTGGGTAGACTGGCTTCCGATAGCAGAATTCGCTCACAATAACTCTGTCACTGTAACGGGTCATAGTCCATTCAAAGTACTCTACGGATACGATCCAGAGTTTACTTTTTCACCAATTTCCAATTCTAAAGTACCTGCAGCTGATGAACGAGTGGATGTAATGAAAGAGGCGAAGGAAGACACAGAAAGTATGCTGCGAATGGCGAATGAGCGGATGAAGAGATTCTACGATAAAGGAGTAAAAGACGCACCACAATTCAAGAAAGGAGATCTGGTCTGGCTCAATGCCAAAAATATCCGTCAGAAAAGACCAAATAAGAAACTCTCCGATCGACGACTTGGTCCGTTTGAAGTGCTAGAGAAGACGGGTGATGTAAATTACCGCCTGAACCTTCCAGCAAAATATCAGATTCATCCAGTATTCCACGTAGAATTACTCACTCCGCATTCCCCCTCGACCTTAGTCCAAAGACTTCCACATCATCGTCCGCCGCCAGAGATCTTATCAGAAGGCGATTCCGAATGGATAGTACGAAAAGTCCTAGACTCGAGACTGCACAGATCAAAACTCCAATACCTAGTAGAGTGGGAAGGATATCCGATAGAAGAAGCGACATGGGAACCTGAGGAAAACCTTGAAAATGCACGGTTGAAAGTTCAAGAATTTCACCGGCAAAATCCGAAGGCATTAAATCCCCGCAAAATTAACAAATCGGTGTTCGAAACCCAAGAGTTTTTGGAATGGCGCAAAAAGTTTATCCGCCCTAGTTTCATTCGCGATGACGCTCATCCTAGAGAGGGGGTAATGTCACGAGTTCCAAATACAAATCATTATTCGTTCCTTAATTCTAAGTCCTTTAAGCGCCCAGTCACAGCGCCTGTTCCTAAGAATGTATTTACTGTTGAAGAAGTTCCTATTATTGCGTCCATTGTAGAATTACCAGAGTCACGTGATATATCGGACAATGCCGAAGATGTTGATGTCATGCCTCGCGACACTCTTGGAATGTTCCAGAGTCTTACTGCGGCTGCGGCACATGTTATGACATCATAGTTATATATAGAATCATACGATACCTTTAATTATTCTGATTGGTTAGTTAGTTCATACTCAGTTTCGATCTCAGTTTCAATATGTGTATATAGGTAGCTCGTCGTAGTCAGTAGTTCTTTAGTTCAAACCTCTTGTATCTCCAAGTGAGCAATCCAAGACGTACCTGCTGCCTTATCCTCTTTGTGATTATCTTGTTGTTTGAGTCCTAGTCTCTGCCCTGCGTTAATTCGTTTAAGGGGTTGTGACACCCCACTAGTGCGGTCTGCCCAGTAACCCAGCTACACCCTTGCCTTGCCTTGCCTTGCTGCAGCACTACCCATCTTTGTTGGATCCAGCAAACTCCTGCTCAGCATGACCTGCGGCCCTGGTGAACCGAGAACCATGTGTAGTGGGTCCAGTCCTTGAAGGCTCTTTTGAGGAAGAAGAGGGACATGATGCCGGAGATATAGGTTGGGAAGAGGTAAGCCTGCTTTGATTGGATGATAAGCCCTGATAGAAAACTATTAATACACCTAAATGTTAAAAATGGCTCGCGAGGAGTGGGAAACATGTCTGCCCTGACCTCCAGCTCCTCGTGAGGTTCAGCATGTCCATGTCAATAGATATGGCTTGCAAACACACCTGGATGATTTCAAAAACGGACCGAGTCATTGAGAAGCATGTCTGCCCCGAGGAGTCCAGCTGCTCGCGAGGTTGAGAAAACCATTAATGCACCTGAATGATGTTGAAAAAATGGCTCGCAATACTGACAGAAAAACTACTACCAATGCACCTGAAATGATTTTGAACAAAGGGCTCGCAAGGAGTGTTGTGAATGAGTGAGGGCAGTGCGAACTTCGGCTCTCATACTAGAATGGTGTGGTGGTGGGCGCCGACCAAGAAAGGTAGCACACAATGCAAAAGTGCACATATGATATCTGTGGCCTGTGAGAAGGTGGTGGGTATGACTAGATACACAGTGGGCAACAAGGAGATCAGGAGATGATGTAACATGGCACTGGGCAGGGCCAGCAGGAGCAGACAGACCTTTGATACTAAGATGTACAGCGAAGTCTGCACTGACCCCACCAAAAGACTGACTACATACCAGATTTTCGGCTCATGGTCTTGTTCAAGTAGACAGTGTTAATCATGGCGAGAAGAAGTGAGATGCGCTGTAGAAACAACAATACTGTGAGGAGCAAATGAGGCTCCAGACTGTATCTATAAATGTTTGTAAGGTCGCGCTTTGCCTAGTCTGTGTTACTTGACAAGACAAGTGCATTCGACCCTCAAGGGGAAGCGAGTGCAGCGAAGATCTAGAGGTATGCGCTGAAGTGAGGCACGAGAAAGCGCAGGTGCGCGCAAGGCGTGGGAACATGCGTGCGCGTGTGGAAACAATAGAGAGGTTAGACTTAAGTGATAATATGATGCAAGATAAGAGAAAAGAGATGTGAAGTGTAGACAAAATGGATTTCTACTATGTTCTTCTAGGTAGATAGTGGGTGGAAAGTAAAGTAAGGTAAGGTAAGTGGTAAAAATGGAAAGTTCATTGACAAGTATGTACTGCTGGCGCTTATATAGTGCGCCTAAGTGCTGTAATGCGGAGCTGAAGCGCTACCGAGTAGGTATGTAGAGATATATATAAGTAAGGGTCCATGATAAAAATAAGGTGGAATAATATACAAATGAGAGAAACAGAAATATATGCACTAGAGAACTTGGAGGACAGTGGATGGATGCATCTGGATGGCTGGCGCTACAGGGCGCTCAAGCGCGGGAACACATGCACGCGTATACATTGTGAAGCGCGGGAATGGCGCGCATTGCGCGGGAAAGCTGCGCCTCATATAGGAATAGCTGTGGACAGTACACAGAGTGGTGCTGCAAGTTTGTGCTGTATACTCCCTAGTGGAAACTGCCATATCACGCCATGAGAGGCATGATTCTCTACAGCGCTAGTGTCATCACATGGTACCCGAAGTTTTGAAGTATTTCGAACTCCAAAGTAATCTCGAGGTGCAGCAGACTTTGAGTAGAGTGAGTGTGCAGACAATACAGGAAGGACAGGAAATATGTACAGGGCTGTGAAAAACACTTGACAGCTGCATGCAGGAAATGCAGAAATGGTGATGCATTGCAGCAGTGCACACTGCAGAATGGTAAATTTGATCTTATCTTCAAAATGTAGGATTGTTTGTATCGACATACATCAATGTTCTTCGTTTTATATTTATTGTATCTATCTCATTTGATTTATATCCACCTCTATTTTGCTTGTTTTCACTGGGCGCCAATTTCCGTCTGGTGATTTGCTCCCAGTTACTGCACCGAGTTTGGGCCACATCCTTGAGCATTTTTTTGTTTTCACTCGCAAGCAGTATGCTGAAATTGCTCGTGCACACTCAGTCAGGTTTATCTCAGTTTATCGTGAGGACCATATTCGTGATCTCCTTCGGGTGCATGAATGCACCAGACAATGTGCACTGAATCTCATTGTGTTTTGGCATCTGCGTTCTCCCAGGCATGATATTTCTCATGTGGTGCTGCCACCTCCTTCTAAATCTGATCACTTGGCACATCGGAATGCAGTTCGCTGTGCTGCATGCTCCCAACATGCAGAGGTTCAACGTGACCATAGTGTTGATGCCATACACTCTGCAGATGAATCAACAGATGAGGACGTTGATGATGATCCTGAGTTTCTGACCATGCATACATTTCCTGAGAAGGTTGATATCATTAAGGAATGGCAACACGAGATGAGCTACATGATGCAACAGCGTGGCGTATGCGCTGTTTGTGCTCATAATGTTTGCATTAAACAGCTGAAAAGTGTCAGTTCATCTCAAGTTCCCTTACATTTATTGTGCAATGATTGTCTGCTAGTGCACATTTTGCCCCAAACATATGATTTGGAGTTGTATGACAGAGCCATCTTGCATCCAAAAGGCTTGTATGATTGCTGGGCAGTTGGGGCTCTGCAGATGTGTCATCAGTGTCATGCAGCTTTGATCAATAAACATCCACATCAACCTGTGAACTCTCTCACTAATTTCCAATATTATGGACATGAAAGGTTGCCCCCTTCTGTTGCTGATGTGTTTGCGTGAGCATCTATGTATGATTTAATGTTCGTTTCTCGTGTGCATGCATCACAAATCATACATTTTTATGCTCACAAGCCATCTGGGCATTGGGTGCCTGAGGAAAGCTCTCAGTGGTATAATCAAGGAAATGTTGCTATCAGACCCCAGGACTCTGTTGAGCTGCGGAATATGCTTCCACCTAGTGAGGATGAATTGCACGATGCAACATGCATGATCTCTGCTGGTCATCAGGAGAAACCTTTGCGCGCAACTGTCAAACAGATGCGTCTGGTTTTAGTGACCAAATCTGTAGTTAAGACACTGATTGAATTTCTAGTCGAATACAATCCTTGGTATCAGCAATGTGGTGTTTTGTATAGCCAAGAGAATATGGATGCTCTTTTTGAAGATATTGATGGCAATGTGGACACAGGCATTCCCAAAGCTTTGCAAATATGTCATTTATCAAAAGATGACTCCATTGATCAATTCCTTCCTTTGGAATCACATGATCTGAGTATTTCAGACAGCATAGATCCTGGCAATATTACCATGGAAGCAATAGGTTTTACCAAGGGTGACCATTCAGCAACAAGTCGAGAGAAAATGAAACTTCATGCGTTGGCGCATGTATTAGATCATAACAAGTTCATATTGTCAAAGGCGGGCTCATCCTTTGTCTCTGACAGCGATCCAGGCTTGATGTCTTTTTTATTTCCGCACTTGGATCCTTGGGATATCAGTGGATTTAATCATAGTGGTTGTACAGTGGCTCAAAAAAGTGTCTCGATGTTTGTTGGTTTTCATGTAATTGCTTTCTTATGAGTCAGGGTGTGGGAATCTGACTATGCTATAGGGCCTTTTGTCAGAGATCCCAATTTCATGTTCATCTACTGGAACATAATCCAGAAAAAAGAGGTCAGCACAAACACCAATTTTAGAATCAGGGCATCTTTGCAGCACACTCTGGCTGAGGAATTAAGAGATGTGGGACCTTCCCTTATGAGTTTGGCAGAGAAGTGGATGTGTTCTGTCAATGCAAAGCCGTCTATGACTCAGGAAAAGAAAGCTGCAAAACTTTTACATCGTTTACATGCATCAGCAAGGTCGTTGAAAGGTAGTGCAGGATATAAATTGTGTCATCGCAATGAGATATGCTCTCTGATGAAAAAATTTAGTACTCCGGCATTGTTTGTCACTGTCAACCCACATGATCTTACAAGCGGCATGATTCCCATCCTTTTGGAAATGGGGCTTGAGGAATGGTATTTGATGACATCAATTGAGAGGGCGAAGATAGTTGCAGGTCGTCCCAATGCTGTGGCAATTGCTTTCGATCTCCAAATTCAAGTGTTTATTGACATCATATTGCAATATAAACATGGCCCAGGCATTTTCAGACATTGCCAAACATATTATGGCATGGTAGAGGCTCAGGGAAGAGACACTTTTCATTTTCTTATTTGGATCAAAGGTAATCCGAGTCCCCAGGCCTTGTGTGATCGTATGGCAGCTGAAGAAGGATTCTCAGTGAAAATGTTTGATTGGTTGGAGAGCATCATAAGTTGTGAGCTACCACATGACACTGGACCGATACCAGAGGTATCTCCGGACCAGGCTCGCAAGCCTGAATGGGATAATGGAGAGATGGATCCCTGATTAGAAATGCCTCCACAAAGCACATATCTCACGTAATACCGAGAATGATGAAGCAGAGTTCAGCTGGCAGCACCAAAACCATTGTCAAAATGAAGACAGGTAAAAAGTACATTAAGATGCTATGAAGACTTGACCGTGAGATATGACTATGGCATTTCTCATGCCAGGACGAAAACTGCCGTGATTGATCGTAAACATTATCACCTAAGAGAGCATGTAAGAATCATGCAGAGGATTGATAGGATAGCGGGTTTGGCTATGACTGATTGGTAATCGGAGAAAAGGAAATATAACAGAAAAAGTGCAAAGAAGGGTCCTGGGATGCCCAGCGGGCCGTTGTATATCACTTGTGTACCATTACTACTGCATATTTGGCTGCACTATTTTTAGCCTGTGCCTGGTCACAATCTGATTTGGGCATTGCATTTTCGCATTTTTAGCCACCTACTGTTGGAATTACCCCACAACACCCAAAACATAATTCATTTTGGGAATCTCCACAATTTTAATTATTCCCACACCCTTCCCACCCACATTATTGCAGCTTCACCACCACACCACAATAGCTCCCCCTTTATATATATGTATAATATAATAGACTGCTTTTTTTGTTTGTTTGTGTGACTCCTCCTCCAGGGGCAATTCAACATAGGGTAGGGTACAAAACACTTTCGCATTTTTGCCCCTTTGGTGGGAAAGTGTTCTATTATATTTAGAACATGTTTATAAGCATATATGAGTAGATTCTCATCTTTATTTGACCCCCTGAAGCGTCCTACATCAATAGATATAGCATATATGCAAGAAAACACAGAATATATTCTCATTAATTATTTCTAGGTGGACAGACTTGGAAAAATGTATCAGGAGCCCAGGACCATAGGATGATACCCTGTTGCATAATATGCCCCACCTTTTCTGGTGGTTCACCCCCTGTGAAAATTTTTCCTGTAGGACTGGACCTTAATTGAGGTGAGGGGTCTATTTCTATGTATAATTGGAGTAGATCTATCATATAGCTGGCCCAGGACACACATAGAATCCTGCTGCAAGAACAAAAACATAGAAAATCCCACTTTTGACATTTTTTATGTTTCTCAGTATCTTACTCTTGCATAAATGGCCAGCCCTGCTCATATATAATAGGTAGTACATTCACATATATATTCTGTACCAAGGATCAGCCCTACATAGGGCGCAAATTTGATATCTGATGTATAGGGAGTATTTCTACTGATAAGAAGCCTATATAGTAATCAAGCCTGTGATAAGTGATCAGATACCTGGAATACCTCCCATATATATCCCTGATAATGTATTTGAAGTTTTAGAAAGATCCATGAAAGACTGACTGAATGACAAGTGAAATGACATATGTGTGAGGATTATTTATGCAAGAGTAAGATACTGAGAAACATAAAAAATGTCAAAAGTGGGATTTTCTATGTTTTTGTTCTTGCAGCAGGATTCTATGTGTGTCCTGGGCCAGCTATATGATAGATCTACTCCAATTATACATAGAAATAGACCCCTCACCTCAATTAAGGTCCAGTCCTACAGGAAAAATTTTCACAGGGGGTGAACCACCAGAAAAGGTGGGGCATATTATGCAACAGGGTATCATCCTATGGTCCTGGGCTCCTGATACATTTTTCCAAGTCTGTCCACCTAGAAATAATTAAATGAGAATATATTCTGTGTTTTCTTGCATATATGCTATATCTATTGATGTAGGACGCTTCAGGGGGTCAAATAAAGATGAGAATCTACTCATATATGCTTATAAACATGTTCTAAATATAATAGAACACTTTCCCACCAAAGGGGCAAAAATGCGAAAGTGTTTTGTACCCTACCCTATGTTGAATTGCCCCTGGAGGAGGAGTCACACAAACAAACAAAAAAAGCAGTCTATTATATTATACATATATATAAAGGGGGAGCTATTGTGGTGTGGTGGTGAAGCTGCAATAATGTGGGTGGGAAGGGTGTGGGAATAATTAAAATTGTGGAGATTCCCAAAATGAATTATGTTTTGGGTGTTGTGGGGTAATTCCAACAGTAGGTAGCTAAAATGCGAAAATGCGGAGTGTGGGAACAATGTGGGGAGGCCTAATATGAGAAGGTGACAAAAATGGAATATGTTTTTGTGAATTTCCGCATTCGGAAGCCAAAATTGCGGTCGTAATATGACAAATAGCTGAGTTTCAAAAGTGCAAAAATTGCGGCAGTGTATAGTGAGGTGTGTGGTGATATATCACCTGGGTGATGCTACTGTAAGTTAACACCAGGGATATAACATGGCTGCGTGCTAATGAGAGTAAATGATATATCATACTGACAGGATATGGTGAAAGTTCTGTGGTGTACATGGAAGGAAATCTTGCTAAGAATATGTGAGTGCCAACTCATCAGCGCCATGCACTTGACGTCTGACTATATTTTCTCAAAGGTCAGATATGCTGAGGCACATTCTCAAAGTCCTTCGAAAATCTACTATCACAGGAGATCATGGCAAAGATGATAGGTCAAAGTTCTGGGCAAAATTTCGAATGCATATGATGATGACTTCCTCAACCGAGTGCAAGGCAATATATTTGTGATCCTGACTTTTGTGCATTCATTTCTATATCAATAGACGCAAATTTCACGGGAAAATAAGGCTGGTCTGCTCTCAACTGTCATCGTTACTTTCGTCATCGGAATGCAGTCCGACCTGGCAGACACTACCAGTGCCCTCTTGGTGCAGCTCATAGCAATCACTGTTAACGGGTCAAGTGCTGTACATGATTTCAGCACTCTTTCCTCGTAGAAAGTATTTTAGAACGCTACCCAGTGACATGTGTGCCCCGATTACACTTGTCCACAACCAGTTGCCTGGCAGTTGTACAAACTATTTGCCACAAAGCTTTTTTTATGAATTTGATCGAGATAGGCCTAAAATGCCTTCAAGAGTATCCTGGTTTTTACATCCAAAACTCATTTTCCAAAGCAAGTACATTTGGATACATCCCAGACACGCTCAAGGTGCTGGTGTTTAGTGTACTTATGGTATGGTCCCATGCTTGTGATCACATCTCGTTGAAACACAGACCAGTCACTTGCAGCAAGCCTTTGCAAGACAGGTGAGTTGACTGCTACATAGAGAGCAGAATTAACAAATGAATGACTTAACCAAAACAGTGTCCTTACCCGGAACCTCAAGATATCCTCCATCGTTGAGAAACAGAATGGACCACAGTTTTCAATCCTTCGCACTTTTGAAAATTATGAAAAGGTGACCACACCCTGATATGAAGAAGTCTGTGGGCTGTGTGAATGGTGTACTACATCTCCCATTCCTGTGAATGGAGTCAGCTTTCCTGATGCCATATGTCAACCAGGAAGCAATGGTAAACTCGCGCAGGAGGATTACTTTCTAGAGAAACGTAAGAAGGCTATAAGGCAATAATACCATTTAAGCTAAATGCAAACAGATTCAATAGGCATGTAGACTCACAGCCAGCGACCATCTGGACTCTTTTTGCTTAGCCACTGATTGATCAAATCCTGATCAAGATATATGTGCTCCCTACCCGCCACCTTCTCAGCAACATTGGGACCATCATGAAGGAGACCGCCACCAATGGCTGCTGATTTACTGCTGATAATCACTGGACAGTTGTTCCGAAGAAGGTCTCGAATTTCGTCCATCCTTGTCAGCTGCGATTCTGGTGTACGATTGTCTATGAAAGTGGAATTTGCCATGTACTCCAGGATGTCATTGTCATGAAGAAAACCTCGATGAGTTTCGTTGACAAGCTGATAAAATCGATGGTTTGGGAGAAGGCGACCTCCACTATTTTCAAGAAAGACGTAGAGAGATGTGTCGGCACTGTAAGGAGGAGGGTTGCATAGAGCTGAGTTTGCAGTCATGATAGTTGAATTTTGGTACTCACACTCAGGGGCTGGCCTCCAAATTACATGTTTAGGGGTCTTGTCACTTGAACGTGACCATAGTATCATGACTATCTCATATCTGCTATGTGTCTTCCTCAAGAGCCGTGAAGAAAGACTATCTCCTGATCATTATTTCTATCGCATCGTCGAAGAGACTATTCAAAATGTCATACATTGCCTGACCGTCTTGCATTATATGGTGAGGAGCACACTCGAAAATTTCAACAAAGTTGTGGAGGAGCAAAGGATTCAGGAGATCACCTAATATCTACAAACTACCTGCCCCACGGTTTCCAGCAGTGACTCTCCTGCAATGAATTCAATATTTGTTGACATGCGTGCATACTCAGCCTGCATCAGTAAATTCACAAACTCCTTAACGTCCTTTTTCGCCACTTGTCACAAAAATCTTCAACATGTTGCCACTTATTATTCTTATGCACTTGTCATTTTTCTTTCACAAGCACTCACAAGTAAATGTGTGATTCACAAGTGCCCACAAGTGCAACAAGCGCCGAAAGCAAGGAAGACGAAATTGTGTCATAGATTACAGTGGCTCAAAAAGTGTCTCAATGTTTGTAACTTTTCATGTAATTGCTTTATTATGAGCCAGGGTGTGGGAATATGACTAAACTGTAGGGAGGTGTCATAATGCTATACTTCTTAGCCTCATTGGAGTTCCCTATAGCGTGGGAAGCTGATGTCATCATGTGCATATATGGCTATTTGAATTTGGTGACTCATTGAGACACTTTTTTGACTTTTAGTTTGATCAACACAATCTCTATAATTATGATACTTCATGTGACCTCCTGTTGCTCTAATCACTTCTGCCACTCCTCTAGACATGCTATCTATCAATTTTGAATATTTCTTCTTAGTACTCCTTTCTCACTCTGCTGCAACTCTGTCCTACAGCTGAAATAGCCCCTATGATGAATTTTGATAGGCTGCAAGCAATTTCTTGAATATTTTTCAGAGATATTCAATAGGGCTGATGTATAGGGACTATGCTAGACATGATAGAACATTGATATCATGGTCTTTGAGCTACTAGTAACTAAATTGAAAGCTTACCTCACATGAATGAAGATCTCACATTTACCATATTGTGACTGGGCAGGCTGCTAATGCTACTCAGGCCACCTAATTCATCAATTCCATCATATCCAGCTCTGTCTTTACTCAAACCATCAATAATACTTGCAAGGCAACAAATATTAAAGCTACAATCAAGAAGAAGAGGACTCTCCTATCTCTAGCCTATAGAAAGAGGAAGTAAACTTTAGCTTTAAAGCACCAGTACTGGACTGAAAGAGGACTGGAAGAGGACTATATTATAAGATCAGACTAAGATAAATATGATGAGATCAGATGGCTGGGAATACATCTGTAAAAAGACAGGTGAACCACTAAAAGACAAAAAATCGTATAAACTCTCAAGTGTAGAGTAACAAACATAGAGGTATAGGACTGTATGAGATGTAATAGAGTGTATATTCTCTGTGTGAAGTAAAGTAAAGGACTAATACAAAAGGGTACATCTCTATTTTAGATGAGAGTCTGCTAAAAAGCATACAGAAATCATAGATTAATGGGGAAGATACTATGTTGTAATAAAATAAGGATCCTAAGTATATGTCTAAGTTAGTCACTAGCAGCTCAAAGACCATGATATCAATGTTCTATCATGTCTAGCATAGTCCCTATACATCAGCCCTATTGAATATCTCTGAAAAATATTCAAGAAATTGCTTGCAGCCTATCAAAATTCATCATAGGGGCTATTTCAGCTGTAGGACAGAGTTGCAGCAGAGTGAGAAAGAAGTGCTAAGAAGAAATACTCAAAATTGATAGATAGCATGTCTAGAAGAGTGGCAGAAGTGATTAGAGCAACAGGAGGTCACATGAAGTATCATAATTATAGAGATTGTGTTGATCAAACTGAAAGTCAAAAAAGTGTCTCAATGAGTCATCAAATTAAAATAGCCATATATGCACATGATGACATCAGCTTCCCACGCTATAGGGAACTCCAATGAGGCTAAGAAGTATAGCATTATGACACCTCCCTACAGTTTAGTCATATTCCCACACCCTGGCTCATAATAAAGCAATTACATGAAAAGTTACAAACATTGAGACACTTTTTTGAGCCACTGTATGTTCATACGTGGATCAATGCAAACACTGATGCAATTGATAGCATCGAGTCCGGTTCGAAGAGCATCGGAGGCCAATAGTGACGACAAACCTTTATTACATGCGGGGGAGGTGTAACGAAGCGAGACACTCGGATATTGAAGGGCAAGGGAGGACTCAGATTGGTTTTTGGAGGGGGGTGAAGGCAGTCTTCAGTTGCCTGGATCAAGAGATGCTCGAGGCCATTCATGACCTGGCATGACATTGAGCACCTGCAGAGTGGTAGAGTAAAGGTGAGTTAGTACATCTGTGAAGGCCAAACAACTCACTCACCTATATTAGTGTTAGAATGTACTTGAATACAAGAACAAATGAGAATTGATGTGACTGGGAACAGATCAGGAGGATATGGCTGTTGCAGCCCGTGAAGGAGAGACTGGGAATGGACCAGGAGGAGATGGCTATGGTTGCTGTTGCAGACCTGCAAAGGAGGGACTGGGAACAGATCAGGAGGAGATGGCTGCAGTTGCTGTTGCAGACCCACCAAGGAGGGACTGTGAATGGACCAGGAGGAGATGGCTGCGGTTGCTGTTGCAGACCCGCCAAGGAGGGACTGGGAATGGACCAGGGGGAGATGGCTATGGTTGCTGCTGCTGACGAGATATGTCTTGTTCAGCAAAAGGTTAACAGTCTTGAGAAAGTTCTCGACAGTGAGATCGTCACCTACCGCATGAGGTTGTACAAAGTCATGATCTTCATAAGGTGGAGGTGGACAACCGGGAGCGAGTGGCAAGCTCCCACCACGCTATCACACAAAAGGGTAAGTGGCACTATTCATTAGCAGTATGGGCACAGGTACTTTACCTCTGAGGCAGAACTCTTAATGTTGCTGTTGCAGACCCGCTGAAGGTACAACAATTCAGATGGTGAGTCTGAACAATGTGTTGGGTCTTGCAGAACCTAGTTGCTATTTGACCCTAAAGGGTTTCTGGACTAGGCTTAAGGCTCAGAGGAGAGGAAATATCATAGAAACTTGGTCAGCCCTCAGACCCATACTGGTAACTGGTGAAAAGATTGCTTGATTATGTAAGCTACAAAAGTGCCAACATAAGGTAAGGTAAAAACAGTCTCTACAAGCCCAGCCAGAAATGAATCCCTACACCGCCAAGGAGGGACTGGGAATGGACCAGGGGGAGATGGCTGTGGTTGTTGCTGGTAATGAGAATAACTCATCGGTACGTCTTGTTCAGCAGAAGCTGCTGTTGCAGACCCGCCAAGGAGGGACTTACCCTCGGGTTTGGTTGGGACTGGGAACAGACCAGGGGGAGATGGTTGTGGTTGTTGCTGCTGACGAGAATAACTGGTCAGTATGTCTTGTTCAACAGAAGCTGCTGTTGCAGACCCGCCAAGGAGGGACTTACCCTCGGGTTTGGTTGGGACTGGGAACAGACCAGGGGGAGATGATTGTGGTTGTTGCTGCTAACGAGAATAACTTGTCAGTGTGTCTTGTTTAGCAGAAGCTGCTGTTGCAGACCCGCCAAGGAGGGACTTACCCTCGAGTTTGGTTGGGACTGGGAACGGACCAGGGGGAGATGGCTGTGGTTGTTGCTGCTGATGAGAATAACTGGTCAGTATGTCCTGTTCAGCAGAAGCTGTTGTTGCAGACCCGCCAAGGAGGGACTTACAAAGTTGTGATCTTTGTAAGGTGAAGGTGGACCACAGAATTATGTGCGCTTGAGTTAGTGGTAATTGGACATGGAGGTCAATCCTAGCTCCAGGACTTTGAGTTGGTGGTATTTGGAGGAGATTAAGACTTACTGTTCTGCCAAAGAAAGGGGGATCAAGATGCTATCTTGAATGCATGGTGATCGGTGTATTTATTGACATAGAATAAGCGGAAAGCATCATAAGAATGAAAATACTCAATGTCCTTAGGAATGAAATTGGGACCGTAGATAGGGATTGCAGTGGCTCAAAAAGTGTCTCAATGTTTCTGACTTTTCATGTAATTGCTTTATTATGAGCCAGGGTGTGGGAATATGACTATGCTGTAGGGAGGTGTCATAATGCTATATTTCTCAGCCTCATTTATGCTCCCTGTAGCGTGGGAAGCTGATGTCATCATGTGCATATATGGCTATTTTAATTTGATGACTCATTGAGACACTTTTTTGACTTTCAGTTTGATCAACACAATCTCTATAATTATGATACTTTATGTGACCTCCTGTTGCTCTAATCACTTCTGCCACTCCTCTAGACATGCTATCTATCAATTTTGAGTATTTCTTCTTAGCACTCCTTTCTCACTCTGCTGCAACTCTGTCCTACAGCTGAAATAGCCCCTATGATGAATTTTGATAGGCTGCAAGCAATTTCTTGAATATTTTTTAGAGATATTCAATAGGGCTGATGTATAGGGACTATGCTAGACATGATAGAACATTGATATCATGGTCTTTGAGCTACTAGTAACTAAATTGAAAGCTTACCTCACATGAATGAAGATCTCACATTTACCATATTCTGACTGGGCAGGCTGCTAATGCTACTCAGGCCACCTAATTCATCAATTCATCATCTCCAGCACTGTTTCCACTCAAACCATCAACAATACTTGCAAGGCAACAAATATTAAAGTTACAATCAATCAGAAGAGGATTCTCCTATCCCTAGCCTATAGAAATAGGAAGTAAACTTCAGCTTTAAAGACCAGTACTGGACTGAAAGAGGACTGGAAGAGAATTATATTATGAGATAAGACCAAGATAAATATAATGAAGTCAGATGGCTGGGAATACATCCATAAAATGACAGGTGAACCACTAAAAGAAAAGAAATTGTATAAACTCTCAAGTGTGGAGTAACAAACATAGAGGTATAGAGCTATATGAGATGTAATAGAGTGTATATTCTCTGTGTGAAGTGAAGTGAAGAACTAATACAGAGTGGTACATCTCTATTTTAGATGAGAGTCTGCTAAGAAGCATACAGAAATCATATATTAATGAGGAAGATACTATGTTGCAATAAAATAATGATCCTAAGTATATGTCCAAGTTAGTCACTGGCAGCTCAAAGACCATAATATCAATGTTCTATCATGTCTAGCACAGTCCCCATACATTAGCCCTATTGAATATTACTGAAAAATATCTAAGAAATTGCTTGCAGCCTATCAAAATTCATCATAGGGGCTATTTCAGCTGTAGGACAGAGTTGCAGCAGAGTGAGAAAGGAGTACTAAGAAGAAATATTCAAAATTGATAGATAGCATGTCTAGAGGAGTGGCAGAAGTGATTAGAGCAACAGGAGGTCACAAAAAGTATCATAATTAGAGATTGTGTTGATCAAACTAAAAGTCAAAAAAGTGTCTCAATGAGTCACCAAATTCAAATAGCCATATCTGCACATGATGACATCAGATTCCCACGCTACAGGGAGCATAAATGAGGCTGAGAAGTATAGCATTATGACACTTCCCTACAGCATAGTCATATTCCCACACCCTGGCTCATAATAAAGCAATTACATAAAAAGTCTGAAACATTGAGACACTTTTTGAGCCACTGTAAGTGTGCTGCACGGTAAATGGTGTCGATATGAATAACAGCGAGGTTTGGGGTGCCATCATCATGAACACTTGGATGGACTATCCACATGCCAGTATCCTTGTCGGCAGAGTCACCAACCTTATCGAACTAATGAACAAGAGCGCATGGATATGTGGTGGCCCAATTATATCTAAAGGAAAAAAAACATCTGACTCTGGCAACTTCAAGCCCTTTCATCCCCTCAAGGTCTGAATTTGTGTTGACGAACATGCAATCATTACGGGGATAGACATTCCGCCAGGATGGACATGCGCAGATCTGTTCTCGTCACATGCCACCAATGCCGCTGGGATCACTTGGCGCATAAAAAGTTGCAGCAGCAGAATTAAAGACATGAAGTCTACCATTATATCAAGGGCAGCTAGCAGCAGGGACATCTTCGGGGTTGCGAGGATCATTGCGAAAGAGTTGCGAAAACAGAAAATGACGGATAAGGCGTCGCAGGTATGGTACATTGACCTCACCTGCTAGTTCTGGTACAGTCTGTGCCCGTGTTTGGTCTAAGAAAAACCTTGGTGAGTATTAAAACCGACACATTAGAGCATCACTTATGAGGAGACCTTGCAAGCTTTACAAACGAGAGCAGTACAGTTGGGCTGTCAACAACTTCACCGTCGTCAACATCATCTTCTGCCTGTGGCACAATAACAGGGGCATCTGGATTATCTTCAAGGATGACAGCTGCATGTTGAGTACACAAAATGATAAGACTAGATACAAAAACTTACGCAGAGCGGCCACAGCTCTTGATAATACAGAGCCAACGAGCATCCCACAAGCAGTGAAGTCTACGCGAGATGCTGCGAGTTTGTTGAGGCATTGGTTAGCCAAAAGCATTTGGCCAATGGCATTATGCTTGCTAGACAACCTCCAAGGTTGTTTCACAGCCTTAATGTGCTTGGATTCCGTGATCAACGAGCACAATCCATTTGGCACACCAAACAGTCAGATCATGTCTGCATAGTGGGTCATTGAGTGCTGGCGGGGTAACGAGAAGTGAGGGACTGTGCCTGTGGTTTCGAAGATCTGGTGGTAGTGGTGAAACCGAGCAAGTGCATCTTTGAGTTGATCCAGAGAGGTTTCAGTAATTACGTTGTGTCGTGCAATATAACAAAATTCTAAAAGTGCACGAAACGCACACACCATGTCTTGAGGTACATGGCCTTCGATAGCCAGAATGAAGACCTTCATAAGGGCTTTGGAATCATTACCTCCATTGTTTAAAGCCGCGGCCATCAGGAAATTGCCGTAGACCAGTGAATGGCGCCACAACAGCAATTCTGACTCAAGGTTAGAAAACGCTGGATTAACAAGTGAGGTAGTATACCTTCAATCTATGTTGCTCATGATCTCGTCTCCTCGTTTGGTCCCATGCTCAAGTCTAAGGTACTTTACTACCCAATCCACCAAATGATCCTTGAAGGCGCCTTTGACTAGCTGGTGGAGGAGATCGAATGATATTAATTGATGGATGTCAGCTCGGAGGAAGTCATTTGTGAATGGCTGTACAAAATAGATTAGTGTATAGTTTGAGAGCGGGTGGATCACTCACAATGAGAACACTTATGATACCATATTCATGCCACAATGTATCTGGGTGGATATTTTCATGTATGAGGACATCTGTATGCTCTCGGCAGCATAAGAGACCACCACCATCAAGATCTCCCCGACTTGCAAGGTATCTACAAACATTGTCAGTAAATGTTGATGCTGAGTGTGACTTAAAACACACTTTGGGCACCAATTTTTAACGGTACAGGACAGCACCAGTTGCTCCTCATAGTTGGCTATGTAGGGTCCCAGGCCAAATATAACACATTGAAAGTGACCGTCTGCACAATGCAGGACTTCGTACTCGGTCATCACAGGCTTCAGGGTAGATAGAATTGCGGATAGTGAACAGTGAAAAAGCTGCCAGCAAAATACACGAAACGAATCATCATGAGCATGTTGCCTATCAGCTGCGACATAGCTCAGATAAAGAATATAATTTTAAATTTTAATACACATACTTTTAGGTATAGCCAGGAAACTGATGATGATGAGAGCATCGTGATGAGCGCATTGCACATTGTTGTGCACATTGCCGATCAAGGCATACAGGGAGTAATATTCATTATTACCTGTGCCCACAGAAACATTGATCTTGTCGCTACCAAGAATTATCGGAACGAACATCGATCCATGTGTGTTTGGATCCTTCGATATCTCGTCCTAGTGGATGTCAGGATACCCCAAGTCACAAGGAATACATGAAATATGTACAGCTTTGTTGCCATGCCCAGTCCACAGACATAAAGTCTCTCCATTGGCATGTATCGTCCAATGTATCATACTCCCGAAATGGCGCATAGTCAATCTCACCCTTGTAGGTAGGGTTCGCTAACATGTTATGTGCCATCATGTGGGGGTCTCTGTACCAGACCTCAGTATTCTCTGTCCATCCACGGAGGAGCATCATGTTCAGGGTGTTCCCCTGTGTATTGAACCGAGAGACATTGCCAAGTGACATTGCCAAGTTGTGTGGTGTCGATGACCTTGTGCAAATCCTTGTGATCCGCAAATGGAGGGTGGTCATTGTGTTTTAACAGCTGCACAGCCATTAAGTCGAGTAATAATTCTGTAGCTTCGTTAGACATATGGCTTTGTTTGAAAACAAACTCTGCCATTGCAAATTCAATATTGTTACAATACGGGCTCCAGTCGTGAGGAGACTTTGGTGGGACAGGAGTTGGTGGTGTGCCAGGGGGCAGAAACACGCCGTCAGCTGTGCATGGTTGTCCTAAGAGCGTGTCAGAATCAGAACATATGAAAAGCGCAGATTGAAAGGTACTTACCATTGAGGAGCGAGTGATACATACGATAGTAATGCTCGCTCGCATCAGTGAATTCTGAGTCTGGATCCTCATCGTCAGCCATTGGACCAGGTGGTGATCAGGGAGGCGAGAAATCAGGAGGGGGTGGCAGGAAATCAGGAGGAGGCGACTGAGGTGGAGATGGAAGCTGTTGTGGTTGGGGAAGATCCAGAGCAGGTGCAATGGGATGGGACATGTGCATGTGTTGAGTGCGGCCAGGGATGTTTCGAAACCAGCGCATACAACCTGGAGATAGGCATGGAAACTAAAGGGCACGGTGAGTAGGCCAGTTTCTGCACATCATATGAGTAGTGTTGATGCAACGTATGGACCTAGTGAAGGTTTAAAACCGGCTGCTAATATTGAAGAAAAAATTACCCTTTCAAAGGTGCCATTGGAACGAAAATGTGCACTACCCCAGAAAGGGTTTGTTAAAATGGACAGTTATGTCATCGCACCACCGGAAAAGTTCTGGTGAACATTGATGATGGTCACCCCACCACAGGAAAGGTTCTGGTGAACATTCCCTAGGCTATTAGACGTCATTATATCACTGAAGGTTCTGGTAAACATTGATACTCACCATACTTAAGGTATTTCAATCTGGGACATGTCATTTTGTTGAGCACATTGTGCCGAAAAGCGCTGGCAAATATTGATGCTCCAGATGTTGCAATCGACCCTCAATTCAATATGTTAAGAAATATTATTCAGAGTCAGCTTTGGCTACAAATTTTAGAGTGATAAAACTCACCTTCAACTCGATAACCCACTGCCTTCAATTTTCGTCAGCCTACAAAACTGTCTATCGATAGAATGTCTCAACCTGACACAGTTACAACGCGCATGGGGACTCGACCTAAGAATGCAACTCAGCATCCCAGGCGCATTTTAATCAATAGTCGTGGAAAGAAGCATACCACTGCTGAAAAGGCCGCTGACAACCAACTGTGAAAGGGAGGCAAAGGAGGCAAGTGAAAAAGCTGTACAAGAAAGTTATCAGTGTATTGCTACTTTGCAGGCACAGATGCAGGCTGACCAAGATGCTATGTGTGTTGACGCACCTAAGCCTAAGCATCCCCATGCACGCCCAGTGGGGAAGACTGCAAAGGACTTGAAGACCTCTGACTCGACTATGGATGATAGGCAGGCAGGAGCAAAAATTGTCGCTGATAAGCCTCTTGTCACCAAAGGCAGGGGTCGCATGGGTGGAGCTAAAAAGTTAGCAGCTGATGCTAGCATCGAAAATCCTGCAAGTGAGGATGAGGATGGGGAGCTGGTCCAAACCAAAAAGAAGAAGAAACTGGCGGTGAGAGAAGCAATTCAAGCGGTATTAAATGCTGGCATTGTTATCGACTCAACAAAGGCATGTGATGGAGAAGTTCAGAAGACGTCTGATGTGTGAGTGTGTTTATCTATCAGTAACTATGATGATGCTTCTTTTGACTGAAACTACTCTTTTTTTTCTCGATATCACGACATACGATTCTGATGCTACAAGTTCCCAAAAATTTGCACTTGCTGGATGTGTCCCAGGGTGGCTGTTGAATCTTCCCATGACTGCCTCAAAGCCAGCCGCATCAGTTGAGGGTGAATCCTTCTACATCTTCCGTTCAACCACGGACCAGTTACTCTAAGCTCACAAAGGGGAGCACCATCAGCAGCAATGTTCCGCCCCCACTCACACCCATCAGTACCTCAAATGCTGGAGGCTTTACAGAGTTCAATATGTATGTGTCTGATGAGGACGAGGATGACGAGGAGCTCGCAAAACCTCTTTCTCATATTACAAGCAACAAGGCTTACACAGTGAGTCTGATTCTATCTATATTTAAATTCTACGTAGTTTCAACCACAGCTGTAGGGTATTGTGATTGTTCCCAAAGCTCTTGACGGTGTAGTACCTTCAGATGTTACCTGTCGCGGTGCAACCGAACAGCCTGATCCGATTGAAGATGCAGACGACATCGATGTCTTCGCAGACATCTGCAGCCACTTTATAGATTTTGACAGGCGCTGGCCCTGCTACACAACCTGATTTCCTAAGGGAGTATAAGGCCTGATGATGATGCCAATCACGAGCTACAGTCCTTGGACCATGATTCTGACCTTGAACCTCCTCCCCTCGCCCAAAAACCTAGGTCCCACTCCACCCCCCCAATGGATTTTGACTCCCTGGCAAGTCAGAAGTGGAAGCTGTCACCTCCTCTGGACTATGACAACATAATGGAGCTGTCATCCGAGGCTGAAAGTGTGCAGGGTGCCAATGAAGATGTGAAGACCGAACCTGTTGACCCAGTGTTCACGCGCCGGGTGACCTCTACAGTAAGTTTTGGTGTCTCATACTACATTTTACTGATTACAAGATATTAGACTAACATTGCTGTCACGCTCAAAGCCCCTCCAGCAAAGCGGCTGAAGTCTGAGTCCTCCACTCCCTCCAAGCCAATTGTACGCTCTGCATACAGGAAGAAGCATCTTCCTAAGGGTTGTCAGGTGGGAAACAAGTGGGCATGACAGTTCATCCCTACTGTCATTCGCTGCATCAGCGATCTAGATGAAGTATGGACCCTTGCAGATGATGTTGTCTGCCCTATCTTGCAGTCAGTCTGGAATGCAGTCTACAAAGGCAAGATTCCACACATGGTTGAAGCTGATGGGCCTGTCCTTGCCATTGTACATTTTGTTTTCAAACGTGATTTAAATCTGTCATTTATTTTTCTAGACCCTCCAGCGGTTGTCAGAGTGGTGCAATACCTTTAGCAATGTGGCTCTCGCCATGCTCGCAAACTTCATGACCTCACAAGATGATCTCAAGACTGATGAGGACCTGCAAAGATTTTGCATCGGCCTTACTCGAAAAGTTCAGCTTTTTATTTGGGGACATTGCAGAGGATGGAGAGGTGTCTAACCCATTCCAGTCTGACCTCATTGTACAGGTTCTCGTGCAGCACAAGTGTGCCACATCCGGCGCTGTCAACCTGCTGGGAACGAACTGATACAGTGCTGGGGCACTCGAGGGGCGCTCTTAGTCTTGCCACAGCAGCAGCACAGTGTTTTCTACCCTCTCATACAGCTGACTTAACTTACCCTGTATTTCAGATGGAACGCGCCATTAGGCTTTTCATCAATGGACACATGCTCCTAGGAGACATCAACACCTCTGGCAATGGTCGAGGCAACAAGACCCCGCTCGACGTCAATCCGTCCACAGGCAACCAGAGCAGCGTCCCCTTGGCATTTTCAGAAGCCAATTGGGGTGCGCACACGAGGGCTTACATGGCGTCTATCACATGCTTGTCAGACTCAGGTCCTTATCCGAAACTCCGAGCTTGCGCAGAGCCTTGCCATGAAGAGGCAGTGGCGGCGCGCGGATGGATGTGGACGAAGAATCTGGGGATGAGCGAGCGCTCATTTTCTAGAGGTAATGTCCCTCACTCTTGTATTTTATTTTGCAACTGACTATGAGCTTCGACACTACTAGTACCTTCAAGGTTATTCATGCTATGTTCCCTCGTCTTTTTTACATGCTGTCTTGTTGCCTGCCTCCATTTCCTTTGTCGCGCTCGTTATGTCTCATTGCCGCCTCCATTTGTTGTGCTCATTATGTCTCATTGCCGCCTTCATTGGCTTTGTCACGCTCATTATTAATCTACTTGCTAGTCCTTATTTTTCTCCTTGTTTAACCTTTTATCTACTTAATCCTCTTGTCCAGTTGAAATGCAATTCTTTTTCCTTGTAACAAGTGTGAAAAAGTGTGAAAAAGTGTATATAGTGTGAACAAGCTAAAAATAAGTGTGACGTAAGGGGATTGTAATGTAGCTCATTCTAAAAAAAAGTGCAAAAATGCTCAAATCAAGAGGAAGGGATCTTCTTGGCAGCTTGTTGCTCCTTGTGACAAGGAGGCGTTCTGGTTCTTGTCCACTCTTGGGTGGGAAAAATAAGAACTTAAAAGGAAATTAAGCAATTCGTGAATTTACTGATGTGTCAAGGTGGCAAAGATCCGAAGAGCAGGAAGCTTGCCTGAAAACACATATACATCCAGAAGTGCTTGGTCGACGACTGGGTGAAAGCCTTGACCAACAAGATAGAGTACAGTCCTTCCAAACAAGAATTTTGGTAGGAAACTTCACCTTTATATTGTTGCTCGTTACCAAATAAGTATGCCATCTCCGTAGGCTCCTCACTGTCTTCATGAAGCTTTCCTTGATACATGGGCTCATCACTATGGTCAAACTTGCATCCACTTCACAGGACATTGATGTGAAGTATTAGGCCCACGGTCCCCCATGCTCACTAGCCAATTTCCTCCTGCAATGGAATGGTTGGCTTGAGTTTGATGCTGGTAAACCTGTTCATCGCGAGAGATTGCCATACCGCAAATTGCACTCTATAGTATTTTCAGACATGTCTGAATTGTCTCCAAATCATGGTCACATCCGGATAACAGGTATGCATGGAAATTTCAATGAAAGGCATTGACATCATCAGTGACCTTTGGACTATTCTAGATAATTTTTTCAATATTGAACTAATGGCTGCTGGAAATTGGACGACCATTCCGCCTAGTGTGCCCTACACCCTACAACGAGTTCCAGCCACATTGCCTATGCATGTGGGATTCCCTGCCAATGGAAGGTCACCCTGCAACAATAGAGACAATGCCATGGAAATAAGATACTCGCAGATCAGATCATGGATGGATTTACAGGGCAAAAAAAGTGGAAGAGTAAGGTTTGGAGCTCTCCAAGTCACTTACCTTGGGATGGGTATGTTTCAGATGGGTTAGGTCTGCTTCGTGTTGTTTGTTCCATAATTTTGCCTATACTCTGCAATACATAATGTTGCACTGATAGCAAACCTGAGCTGCAGCTTTGTTTGGCTCGAGCCACAGCTTTTGGCCAGCTTTGGCTCATGGCCTAGGCTTGAAATCTGGCCCCCTCAGGCCAAGCCAAAGCCGGGCTGGAACATCACTAGCCCAGAGAGGGGCAGGTACGCTTCTTTGCAGGTTTGCTCGGAGGGATTGAGTCTAGGTATGTGCATGGAACAAGAGGGCTCAGTTCCTTTTCAGTCTTTTCTTCCCGGATTCTCATTCTAGGCATTTCATGGTGGTGATGTACTTGAACAATTTGGACAGTGACACTGTGGCACTGAGTACATAAAATAGATGAAACTATACAAAATATACACTGCTGTGAGGAGAAATGAATACAATTGAACATATGATGAGAACATCGAGACACCACTCCAAGTCTGCTTGTTTTGCCCTGTCAACTCACCCAGGGCCAGGAGCATGTACCATCCACATTCTGCCTTTATCTAATGTCCGTCTCTATCATCTTCCGAGGTTTGGAGTCTATTTCGGAATCCCACATTCATAAGGAATGCAGTCGGAACACATCAAAGAGGCCACTAGGATATGGGTATTCATTCCATGCTGTCCAATCTCCAGCAGCCAATCGTTCAAGATTTCGAACTAGACAAATCCAGAAAGAATATGACGATTAGCTTTCAATGAAATTGAATGAATATGGATGCCTACTGTGCCCTAAGCCAGAATGAGAAAAAGTGGTGACTCTATCTGAAAATACTATATTGCACAATTCGTGGTATGGCAGTGCCTTGTGGTGAACCCAAGTAGTACCAAGTGAGTTGAACACAAGCCAACCATTCCATTGCGAGAGGAAATTTTCCAATGAACATGGAGAACCATGAGCTTCAGGCTTCACATTAATCTTCTCTGGATTGAATGCAAGTTTGACCACAGTGATGAGACCACGTATCAAGCAAAGCCGAATGAAGATGGTGAGACTATGGCTGATGATGTGGTTGGTGACAATAGCAATTAGGCTAGAGATGAAGGTGCTTAGATGTAAAATGGTCGCGTGCCTGCAGACCCTTTCATCCAATTATCGACCAAGTGTTTCTGAACATAAATGTGTTTCCGAGTGTCCTTTGGACCTTTGCCACCATGACAACCAGAGTATGCATGCACATCAACAAATGTTGAATGCATCACAGGAGAGTCACTGCTGGAAAATGTGGGGCATGTGTTTTGCAGATATTGGATGATCTCCTGAGCCCTTTGCTTCACTGTAACTTCGTTGGGGATTTCAAGTGTGTTCCTCGCCATGTGATGCAAGATAGGAAGGTAAATAATGATACTGTGAATAGTCTCCCTCACAATGTGACAGAAGGGGTGACCAGGAGGTAATTTCCCTTGATTGCGACTCTCAAGGAAGACACATAACGGATATGAGATAGTCATGGAAGGGGAAGAGCAACTCACCCCTAACGAAGTCACCAGTTTGGAAACTATATGGTGGTTTCCCACGTCAATGTTTACGCCAAACTCGTATCATCCACGTGCCTACGCCCAAACCTATGGCATCGGCCTTGGTTCTTCGCGTCGCAATCGCTCTTAGCACTCAAGGATTCTTCCAGCCAGATGAGTACTTCCAGGCGTTAGAACCCGCCCACCACTACGTCTTTGGATATGGACACCTCACGTGGGAGTGGGTTAGCCCAGTACCACTTCGGAGCATCATCTACCCTGCGTTGAATATGCCTCCCTTTTGGATTATCAAGACGCTGGGACTTGATGCAAGATACCCTGAGCTACTCGTGAGCATCTTGTTTATTCTGCCATTCTTCATCTTCATTCGACAGGTCAGATAACAGGCCCACGCATCGTCCATGGTTTGTTGGCTGCCATCACAGATATATGGATTTGTGAAATTACAAGACAAATTCTCAACGATGCGTTTGTGCCAACCGCTGTGCGATTCCTCGAATTTGAGCGTAATTGACGACTGAAGTGGTCTTCTACAGTACTTTGTCTCCTTGACATCTCTATTCCACTCGTTGTCACTTTCACGTTCCATGTCGAATTCCCTCGAAACATCATTGACGACAGCTGCACTAAGCTACTATCCTTGGAACAATGCGCAGTCCATGCAGGTGCAGTCGTCAGTCACTCGAACTGGCTGTTATTATGACAAAACATCTCATACGTAAGGAACAGGACTAGAACGCGCATGTGCATTGTGTTTGCTGCGCTGGCGTGCGCGATCAGACCGACCAATGCTATAATCTGGGTCTACATGTTTGGCCTTCTCTTCCTGCGTCTCGGGCACCGCCTGAGTCGGGGGTCCAGCCTCATTCGCGATTGTTGCGTCATTGGGTTAGCTGTCTTCGTCCATCTGCGCGAAGCAATTACCAACTCAGGATTTTCCACAGAACTGGGACTATCCTGGCAGTCTTTGCGCTCGATTCAGCCTTTTATGGCAGACCTGCGCTGAGTTTATTGAATTTTCTGCGAGTCAATGCATCGCCTGTATCTTTGTTCTACGGCTCCAGCCCTTGGCATTATTACCTGTCTCAGGCACTTCCGATTCTCTGTTCAACATCCTTGCCGTTCGTGCTGCATGGTATGCTCCTCGCAGTGAAGAATGACGAGAAAAAACCAAAGACAATGCTCGGTTGTATCTTTTGGACATTGACGGTATTCTCATTTGTTGGACATAAAGAATGGCGTTTTCTCCACCCACTCCTGCCGATGTTACACATCTTTGCATCAAGATCCCTAGTGGAACTGTATCATCGCAGCGCGAAAACCGAGGTCAAAGCTCCCCGGGAAAAGAGAAAGAACGCAATAGCCAAAACCTTCTCGCTCCCAATCCGCACTCGAGATCTGTGCCTTCTTTTATTGGCCGTCCCAGCCTCGATATACGTGGTGTTCTTCCATTGCGTAGGACAAATAAAAGTCATGTCGTATTTGCGGAGCTTGCCTCCCGAGAACCTGACGTCCGTGGGGTTCTTGACACCTTGTCATTCGACCCCGTGGCAGGCCTACCTTCACCGGCCCGACCTCGCAGCACCCGGGAGAATGTGGGCTCTTGGGTGTGAGCCACCACTGGGGTAAATGATCATCCTTGTCATAATTTTCGCTTGGGCTTGATAGTTTGCACTCAGACTTCAACATCCTAGCGACTACAAGGACCAGACAGATATCTTCTTTGAAGCACCTTTGGAATATATGCGAACACATTTTCCATCGCATGTGGACACTTCGTACCCTCCTTCAGCCTTCGCTTCATCAGTACCAAACGTCACATTCGTGGAAACACTTCAGGTTGTTGAACAAAGTTCACGATCTTGGGATTTAGGCTGGCGACATGAGTGGCCACAATATATAGTACTGTTTGGCGCGCTTCTACGGGAGCCGGGCGTGTTGGACCTGTTCCAAAATCAGGGTTACGAAGAGGTGTGGAAGGGTGGGTTTGAGTGGGAAGGAGAGGGTCAGAGAAGGGGCGCAGTTCGGATTTGGAAACATATCGGTTGAATTCATCCTGAGTCAGCCACAGAAAAAAGATCATAAATCGTCTAACGCATATGATTGAACATGACAATAATGATTGATTGAGGAGTGCAATTCAGGATGTAAAAGATGTATCTGAGAAATTAATACGGCTACATCACGGTGTGCTAGGTGGCCAAATGTCCGCTGGAGATCATCTACTTTGCATTCTGGCGTTGCATGCGAGTGAGCTGTGATGACAACATATGTTAGCAAGGAAGTTGATCTGAAGGGAGATGACTGACTCTGCGACGCTTCTTCAACCTAAATAGGAGAGTGATCAGTCAGTCTACCATCCCTTCACATTGGAATATGAAACATACTTGTGCTTCTTCATCTTCTTTCGCTTCTTACGCTTTGTGCTATCAGCGTAGATAGTGACCCACTCCTGTGCAGACTCTTTCGCGTTAACCGCGCTACCCTCTGCGGTCTCCTCACCCAAACCAAGTTTTGCCAGGGTGTTTTGCCAGGATACTATTCCACCCACGCGATTCATGACCAATGCATGACCAAGCTGCCTGGCGGCATCAGCATCAGTCTCAAACGAGGATTCTGGCGGCTCGTCGAGGGTAGGAAATTGCCCTGACTGCAATTGAGTCGTTGGAATCTCTTCTAGTGACTGAAAGAGAGGTGCGTCCTGGGGCGCAGACTCAAAGATGGTAGATGGCGGTTGAGATAAGAGCAGAAGCGGTCGGTGCAACGAGAAAAATTGGTGGAGATTGAAATCCTGTGACGATATTGTGGGATGAACTTGGTGGTGGAATTGGCTTGAAAATGCCGAAGTCTGCGATGTGAATGGTAGGGAAGGGTTACTTCGTGCTGCGTCGACTGTGTTCGAAGCTGGAATCGAAGGAGTTTCATCTGCACCTCCGACCTTCATCTTGCCGTTCCCATTCCCAGAGCTGGTCGTTCCATCACTGGGTGCGACGCTGGTGTTTCCATTATCAACCTTCGCTCTGCTAGAAGAAACGACAGGCTTGGGAGGTTTAGCGGAATTGAAGTATCGACCTCCGCCTGGTTTAGACGAGAAAAAAGAAGAATATGCTCTACAGTTCACCGCTGGCGGTTTGAAAAGACGTGGTAGGAAAGACATAAGTGTCTTTCCTTCGAGCGTCTAGCCTGGCCAGTAATTTGAGAGGGAGGGCTTGATGTTGTGTGCAAGAGAAAGTGCTCAACCAAAACGGGATTGTTGTGTCAATGGCGCGGCAATGCTGAATCGGCCGAAGCTTGGGCTTGCAACTTTCCGGGTGCCTCTCACTCGCATGCTCTCTACACGTTGAACACTGGATTTACACTGGATGTTTAATTATTCCGACTCGTCCATTATATATATATATCTCTGATCAGCGGACAGTTAGCTGGTTGAGCGGAATACTGTCGGAAATCGGAAGACGTACACTGTCGTGAGAAAATGTGGAAGTACACTGCTGTACCACCACCACCACCACCACCACCACAGTAACCGCATACCTGGATCCTTGGCGCGGGGCGCCCGCCTTCCATATACACCAGTACCAGTCCTATTAATTGTGTTCATCAATCTCGATATGTCCGTCTCTCCCCCTGTATTCAATATCCATACGCCCACATCTTCTTTCGCGCTCATCCACTCTCGTAAGCATTTCAGCGATATGACATGACGAAGCTGATCATATATCTATATATCAGTCAAGGATGATACTATACAGCAATTGTATAATAAGCTTTCAAGGAAGTCGAACACGGGTTTTCACGGAAATCGCGTTGGTCCTGGTTGGATCAAGTACAATTGGAATGACACCATGTGGAATTTGGATGATGGTTTTAATCCCTCTGCATCCACCCGCCCCTTCCTTACTAAAATACCTTATACAGAAAGTGACTACACCATTTTTGTGTGGAGGCATAAAGCACCTTCTACGTCCCAACAGCCTACATCCGACATAACACCAACACTGCACGTTCACGATCCCGCAGCCCAACTCCCAGAGCCACCTGCGTATTGCAACCCATCATTTTACTTATTCAGCTCTACACGTGTAAATTCTCCCCGTCCTCGGTCAGCGCGGAGCGCCAAGTCCCACAAGTCTAGGGCACCACCAGATGCCGAAGGGATCTCAGGGGTTGCGAAGCACAGAAGAGATTTTGAGAGATTTCATAGCGAAAACGGTGTACGTACTGTTTTGGGCACTATTGGCCCAGTCGACAACGGTAGGAAAGCGCTTGTTGGGTCTTGCACGCACATTGAAATTCAATATCTTTATAGTTCGCATGCTCCTAAAGAACGGTTACCGTCACGTCTACATCTCACGCAAGTTTGCGTTGAGGCATGGGTTTATTCCAGGAGACGCAGCACCAGGGCACTATGGCTACAGTGGCCTCATCAACCTTGGCAAATGGCCGATCACCTTGAAGACAGCTGCAGATTTCACTGATGGCACACAAACTAACGACGTCTCAAACGCAGCACAAAGTTTGAATAACCTGCAACCCAGCAAGTCAAAGACCGTTTCTGTCCCTGTTTTCTTATCCGAGGAGCCACACTTTGACGTCGTGCTTGGCCGCTCGTTCTTTGAGAAACGCCAAATAAAAACCTCATCCATAGATCCTACTGAGGTCATTTGTCTTGATACGGGGGACAAAATCGAGTGTGAATTGGTCATACTCAAAGATGGTAGGGGTCAGATTGTCACTGTTACATAACATTCCGGTGAATTGGACATGATATTAACAACTGCTGTACACAGAATAATGCATAGAATACATCACAAGTATGAATTTTGCTCTGACCAGGTCGCCACGACAGGTCCATTGTTCCATGACAGTGTAACAGGGTCTGGGATAGAATCTATCTCTTTCACATAATGGATTCCTTCATGAATATTCAAAATGCTTATGCCATGCCTATGGATATGAAAGTTTGATACCAACCCGATCATGAGACAATGTGTGTCACTTACTGTTCCTCAATGTGGCAAGCTATGCTTCGCAGAAGCCTACCAGCACCTACACTTCGTCGACATAGAAGGCACCGATATGTTCTTGGCGGCTTCCCAGATAGGAGTTGCGATTGCAGTCGCGACTTGCAACCTTCGGAAGCTTGACTGTTGTGTAAGTGATTGTGTTCGAGCTGCAAAGGTTTCAGGTACCGAAAGTGAAATCAAGAACACAGAACATACACCCTTCCTCCAATGCATGACAGTCTTTCCATCAGGATGACATGCGAAACAGTAAAACGGGGTGCTTGTGCTGTCCATATGTGCAAGTGTAGCAGTCCGAGGATCCTGACAGCAACTGTGAATGACGTGAATGGCGAGTACTGTAGAAGACCTGAATTTCGGAGACCATGGAGAAGAACCGAGCGAATAATACGCGATGCGAGCCACTTGTTCCTTAAAAGAATCATTCCTTTCTTTGCTTGGGACCCTTGGAAAATCAAGGCTGCAGTTGTGTGCAACAGCATCAATCCAGAAGAAGAGCTGTTCGCATGCGTTGCAGACAAAAACACTGGTTGCAAGTTGGCGAATGTCTCCAACTGGCCCATATTCCTTTGGATACCCATTCGTGATGATTGCAGCGAGCTGTTGATCGACCTGTCTCCGCCAGTTCCTCACTAGGTTAGGGAGAGCAACAAAAGCCGGTAAAAAGGTATCACGCTCTACTACGACATGGGCAGGTAATTTGATGATGTCGTCGAAAGGTTTGAACCGCGCAACGTCAGCGACATGAGGTAATACGTCGACATCAGTGTTTGGAAATGATGCAGGTTCAGCCAAGAAGTCGTTCCATGCCTGGAGGAGAATCCTCCGACGAGAATTATAAAGCGTTTCTTCCATGCGGATGGTCCGCATTTCTGACATAAATTCCGTTAGAATTGGGCGGATGCGGCTCCAAACTGTGAGATCAAATCATTCACACAGAACTTGAAAAAAGAATGATTACACCAACTTCGAACAGTAAGAGGCCGCGAATCTTTGATGGCACGATGTTTGGATATTTTCCACCAAGTATGATAATCGATCTCAGGTTTCCACCCTTCTGTTTCTAACCATTCCTTGATGCTAGAATCGGATGTTAGCCAACATGTGTATTAGCTTACGGTTGATCTTACATTCGTTTTCGGCCCTCTCGTATCTGGTGTAACTCATCAGATCGGGCCCTGTTGACTCCAGAGAGCCATGCTTTGCAAGCATCAGCATGCTTCAAGGCCATATCATTTACGATTTTGAAACCCGCGAGTGAAATGTGGCGTACCTCGCGAATAGCACGCACGACCTTCTTTGTTTCTTCGATGACTAGCGTTTGTTCGGCACAATCCAAGCCGTTGAGCCGAAGGCTGAGAGCCTCGTACTGTGATGTTTGGATCATCTCCGTGAACCCTATCCGTTATCAATATCAACCGGACCGGTGCATGACATATGGTACTCATACGTAAGCGCAAGTCACGGAATATATATGTTGGGAGAAGCTCATTTAAGTTTGGACAGAGCTGAGTGACGACGGGTTTTGAATATGCTGGCTCCATACTGAAATATAATGTTTATTTAGAGTAAGAACGTGCAAGGGAACTTCGCACTTTATATGGATTCTCAGACACGGCCCGCAATATTTTGCTCGAAACTGCCAGATGATGTTGAAACCGATTCCACGACAATTCTGTACGTTTCGTGTTGAAGGATGTCTTTATGAAAATTATGGAAGATGACCCACGTAACAGTGTGGATCAAATGCAAGGCAAGCGTACTGTGGCTCACTCAGATCTGGTGGACATTCGGGGAGGTTCGGGATAAGTGACCGCGAGGCTCTCCAAATGAAAGCGTTCGATTTTCGCATAAGTAAATTCCGAAAAGCTTTAGAGGTACGAGCTAGATTGAGGAGGTCAAGCGGTTTCAGGAACCCGAAAATCTGTTGCGATAGATAATGTCTGAGCTGGATGTATATGCGCAGGGAGTGAAACTTACTTCGAAAAGAACATCCAAGCTAATGGTGGGTAAGAGGGAGAGCCCTCCTTTCCTGGCTCTCGACCTACTTGGTTTAGTGTCCTGAGTTTCTACTAGTAGGGATTCGGAGCCTTGGGCATCTTCATATTTGGGTCTCTTCATTAGGTCTACGACATCAAGAACATCAGCAAAGTACAAACGTAGTCAGCAGCGCCAACTCACACAAGTGAAGTCGCTTTGGAGACGTCATTGAAAAGGGTGTCACAGGGCCGTGGACCGCCGGGGGACAGGGCGTCCTCGGAATAGTTACTCAGGGCACTCCGCAGGGTAGCTATACACTACCGAACAAGGATAAGGACGGTCTTTTGAAGAAAACTATAGGAGGGAGTTCAGTAGAGTGTGAACACGGTGGGGAGTGTTTAAGTATTGGAGAGAAAGCATGGAATTCGCGCTGCATGATTATATGGTGCTGATTATCATTAACGCATGTCCTTTGTTAACTTTAGCTTGAACAGCACCTCGCTTATTAAGCAAACTTGATCTGCCGCTTGCCACCTATTTGAATCGTCGTCGTGATAGTGGCAGAGATTATTACCAAAGAAGGATGTAGACTCGGCTCGAATGAGAAACGATTATCATACATGTGTGCGTGGCTAAGCCCAGGAGGGCAGTTGTTCCGCGGACCTAGCCTTCCTAATTTGGGATGAGACATATTTGCAAGCTCGAGTCTCTACAGCAAGTTAACGTCTTCCTTCATGGCGAGTGCTATCGGAATGGCCACATTTCATACAGCGTAAGTGGCATTTCTGTGACAAGTAGTCTGTGCCCTATGCCGCATCACTGTTTAAGGTACCAATTCCATTGCAATTATTAATGCCATTCGCGGCTGAGTATACCTGTAGTGCTGAAACTTGAGGAGCTTGACATGTGTGAGAACATCAGAACCTCGAGGTCCACGGCTAACTGCCGAGCTGCATCGAAGACCCGGAGCTCAATCAGTGAGCAGCTGTTGAAAGTACTAATCGAGTGACGAAAATATCCAGTAATTGCCAATCTGCAATGTACCATCGCAACTAGACATAACAGTAATTGTGTTATGACACGATGATTGCTGTGTGCCCCGCGTCAGATGCGAGTGTAATCTCTCGGATGATCCCTGGAAATGATCACACGATCATCGTCTAAAGAGCTCGAAAGGAGTAAGAACTCTTGGGAAATGGCCGTCAAACTCTACTGCTGTACCCCGTGGATGCTGTCAGTGTTCGGATGACAGCAAAATGATTAAATACCGTCATCATGGGGGGCGTTTCACCTTCGCTTCTCCAGAGACTTGCTCCAAGCCCGCTCAGGAACTTTCCACCTAGCCTAGTGTGGCATCTTCCATGCGGGAAGCGCATTATATCCATCAGCTGGTGGCGTACACTTTGGGAACATGAAAATTATCATTGAGAAGTACTTCGGTCTGACTCGTCACATGCCACATTCAATAGGGTTACGAACTTACGATGGTTTAACTTAAAGTCTTAGACTAGTTAGCATATTGAAAACTCACCAGCAACGTGCCTTGAAAATTTACGCATGCCTCTTTGCGGCCTGCGCCGTGTCGAGGGATCGCGCTCAGTACACAGCGCTGATTGATCCACGTGTCGATTGAACTTCAAGTTTCAGCATCTTATCCACCATGAATCCGAATCACAAAATCTGTGTCTTAGTAGAATCGCCATCAACCTTTGATGGTTTGGTGACCATCAGAAGCGATAACGGCGTGCGTAGTAGGGTCGTCTAGATCAAGGGTTAACATTACGTCGTGGAAGAGTTCGTCCTGGAACCGATTCAACCGAACGTGATATTGAACGTTAACGTTGAACACCGTTCGTAAACGAAGTAGTAGGTTCACGATTACAATTTTGTGCAGATGACTAAGCAGATCGCACCCGATCCTTTCAGGCTTGGCTCTTTCCATGGCGTTCCTCTGGGAAACTGTTTATTGTCCCCTTGACGGTTGTCCGTACCCTAATTCTCGCCTACCATGTCTGGAATCTGTAGACCACGTCTTGCCGAGGAGCGCAAGCAATGGAGAAAGGACCATCCCTTCGTAAGTTCCCCACTTTTTCTATGCATTTGAATGAAGCCCTTTCATTTCGACTCGTTATCTTGCGCCACTTGCTCAATTGAAATATTTACTTCGATATTTTAGGGATTCTATGCGAAGCCGGTGAAAACTGCAGATGGCTCCATGAACCTCATGGAGTGGGAAGTGGGTATTCCTGGAAAGGCTGGTGTAAGTCTGAAACACAACATGCGCCTCATTTACTCATTACTACGCCAACAGACGCCTTGGGAAGGTGGTCTTTTCAAGCTTACCATGACCTTCCCCGAAGGTGATTCACCCTTTGTATTTCTGGATTATCGCCACTGACTAATCATAATCGTGTAGATTATCCGTCTAAACCACCGAAGTGTACGTACAACCAAACCTGACATTCGCTTAAATATGAGTGTATGGCGCACAGGTAAATTCACGCCCCCTCTCTTTCATCCAAATGTCTACCCGTCAGGAACTGTCTGTCTTTCCATCCTTGACGAAGAAAAGTCATGGAAACCAGCAATCACCATAAAACAAGTTCGTGGAGTGTTAGTGTCCATGATATCCATCTGATTTTCATGTCATTAGATTCTCCTGGGCATTCAAGATCTTTTGGATGATCCGAATGTAAACGATCCGGCGCAAAGCGACGCCTACACCATGTTCAAGTACGTATTTTTTCACTGGTCTATATTGCATGGGAATACGGTTTATCTCTCCCGAAGAAACGACAAGGTTGCCTACGAGTAAGTTATCGCGAAACATTTGAAATACCGGCTGATCGTCATCCGTAGGCGAAGAATTCGGCAGCAAGCCCGGGAGAATATACCGAAATAAAGCAATAGTTATGTGTCTGTAGTTATCTCTGCAATGAGAACATCAGAATCTCAACTAGCGATGTTTACATTATCTCCTGCTCCTGGCCTTACTGACCTTGATGGGTGCAAAGATGGCGGACTTACATGTGCGTCCGAGGAATGCTTTGGAAAATTCTTGCCGTACGGTACAACCACAAAAGGGTGCCCCTGATTACATAATATTTCTTGCAGGTGTTCCTCGTGAGTCTTGCCATCGCGTGCCTCTCCGAGGCCGCCAAATGTCCTATGCAAGCTGGTGAATCGGTAATTAGCCACTTAGTGACCGGTGGGAAGCAGGTGATTTTCAACGACTCGCAAGACATTGTATTCACCGATTGACATGTAGTTCATCGGTCACTTCTGTCAGCTCTATTCGAGTCGCCAGTCGAAAATAATTGCCAAATCTGTCGACAGATGCGGCAATCTTTCACGGTTTATCACCGTGTACTTTCACGCTTAAACTTGCAGCTGTGAGTCTCACTGTTGTACCCCTTCAGAGAATTCGCTAACCTCCAAGCAACCTCCGAGTGCAGCGTCAACCGTCAACGCCACTGCCGGATCTACTAGTAGGTATGTATATTCCCACAACCAGCCTCCACCGTCAGACGGTACTAAACCAAGGTCATTTTTCTCTCATCCCGCAGGATCTCTGATTCTCGATCGATTAATTCCAAGCGCATGCTCTGATTCATCCCTACCCAATGCAGACTGGACGTCGGATTGAGCAGTCACCGGGTTCATGAGTCGTCGTGATATTTCTCTGCCAGCCATCACAGTAACGTGCACCTTTCACAACTCCGCAAACCTTTTGATCCGGCACTTGAAGACTTTTCAAGATCCGAATAACTCTTTTGAATGTTCTATACCCCTTTATCTCACGCCCCATGTATTACTATGTCCTGACCACGATCTCCACAGCACCCAAATACCTTGCGTGCCTTCCTGTCCGTGCTAAACCAACGGACACATCCGTAAGTTCACGGGGTGTGCTCGCGTTTTGATCTGAATTTCAAGGTGTTGCAATGCTCAAACCACAAGCAGTCTCACAAAACTGTCTAAATTAGTGCGTGTCAGTGACATGTTCTTCCGTAGCAACTGCGGACGCTTGGAACAATAAACGAAGTCGATCTATAACCCGAAAGATTCAGACGGAGATGAAGTGGGAGCTCAAGGAAGTGGTTTTGGTTAGCGTGAGATAGCAGACGACAACAACGAGAGTTTGGCGCCTAAGTGGGTTTTGTGTGGATGCGTGCATTATGGACAAGCGGACAAGTCGCAACGGTGGCGGCGCACGCTGTATGTTGGCGGTGGTGAGTAACATTTTCGCTAGGTTTACGAACCACGTTAGATCTGTCCAATTATATCGATCAACTGACGGAACTTCAAGTGGGATCCACGCGGCCACTGATGGAGAAACCGGTACAAACTGCCGGTGGAGTAGCCGCAGAACGTGCCCATTTGCTAAATGGTGAATTCGGCAAACAATGTGGTTTTTAGCACTGTAAAAATTATCTGCGGGGTGGATTGTTATCTGTTGTTATAACCACTCCCCGGTAATATGTTACGTACTGGAGTCTGGTAGTGAACTTGGCGTAAGTGCGGTGAATATTAATGTACCAATTCTGGCACTGGCGCCGCCATATAGTCGCCCTCCTCCAAGTCTCCCACGGATTTCCTAACAGTCAATCTACTAATCCATAGTGTCCAAGCGACCCGAACGGCTCCCGCAGCTTTCACAATGCCAGTTACAGTGTTACATGTCGCGCTACAGCGCGGCCTCCAACACCTTAGCTAGACCAAGCCGCAAACCCAGCGTTAGGCGCCGTGCGGTAAATTTACGCATTCTTTTTATATATTTCACTCCCACATTTTGATACTCGGTTGTGCTCACTATAATCGCCGGACGTCTTGATATCTACAACTGCCATATCCGCTGTCAATGGAGATACTGCCAAGTACTTTGCTCTATCGCTCTCAAATTTGTTTGACGTTTAATTGCTTTTCTTTAAGGTGTTCTTCCAGACTTGCTGCGATATAATTTGCAGTGTGAGAAGCGGATATGTATCATTGGAGCGGGAGCGGGAGGTCTTGCTGCTCTGAAAGTCGTATCAGAGTCCGCTTACTTCAAGTCAGGGAAATGGTCGGTCATCGCGTACGAGACCCGGGAAAAGGTTGGGGGAATATGGTGAGTTCACACTGCTCCAAAAACATCAACAGTTGCTGAGCACTATCCCGTTCAGGCTGCCTTCACCGCCGGTTGTTGACGACTACAATGCTCCTGTGACGCCTCTTTATGATTCATTAACCACGAATATACCTCATCCTATCATGGCATATACCAGCTACTCCTTTCCGCCAGAGACTCCTTTGTTTCCGCCAGCGCATGTAGTGCGAACGTATCTTGAATCGTATGCTGCATACTCCAATCTTATGCCCCTCATCAAATTCGATACCGCAGTATTAGATGCACGATGGGAATCAACTCAGTGGATAGTAACCCTTTCGGATGGCGGACACTTTGCATATGACCACTTGATCGTCACAAATGGACACTATCACTTACCCCGCATACCAGAACTGCCAGGGTTGGCAGATTGGATGAAGCGTGGTAGAGCCTCTCACTCTGCATGGTATAGAAAACCTGATTTTCTTGGGGACAAAATACTTGTTGTTGGAGGCGGACCCAGCGGTGACGACATCGCTGCTGAGATGTGCACAGTTTCCTCGGTGGTTATTCATTCTGTCACGATCCCTGGCACAGAGAAGAACGACCCTGAAAATCTCATCCGGAGAGGTCGGCTTATCGAACTCAAGGCTGACGGACAAGTAGTTTTTGACGACGGCACGACGGAAGATAATATCGACTACTGTATTCTGGCAACCGGATTCCGTATGCATTTCCCCTTCTTGGAGGGAGCATCCATGATCATCAACGATATACCACCGGACTTCCCTCCATTACTTCCCGGCAAGCTTTTCAACTCAACTCACCACGTGTTCCCCCTTGCAAAGCATTTATTTCCGCTTCAATCACTGTATCCTATCTCGTCGATCGCCTTCATGGGCCTGCTCATAAGGGTCGTGCCGTTTCCACTCATGGAGGCTCAAGCGCATGCGATTGTGCGAGCATTTTCCGATCCTTCATCTCTAGATCCTATCGCAGAAACGGTCGATATCATCACTCGCGGTGATAAAATTAAACGCGCTGGTGCTTCAACACCTCTAGCCGTCGCCAAGGCCTGGTTTCTATTTAACAAGCAAGACCAGTGGGATTATCGAGACGCAATGTATCAATTTGCGCAGGGCATGGGGTCGGGGACTCCGCTCATCAAAGTCACAAAGTGGGAGAAAGAATTATACAATCTGACTCAGGAAATGAGGTCTACATGGGAAGATTTGGAGAAGTCGGGAGATTCAATTGAGTGGTTGAGAGACGTCGGGAAGAATGGGGTGCAGGACTGGGTAGAGTTGATGTATCGTGTGGTTGATTACGCCAGGACTCCAAAGAACTCATTGGGAAAATTGTGATTATAGCGCAATGCGACACGCCTCTCGTGTACAAACCAACAAATATTATTACTGGGTAGTGTTAGCTCAACTGTTATACCTCAGCATACTACTACTATCGTAAAGGAATGTATCCCTTACTTCTATAAGAGATCGCATGATCACTATCAACCTCCGGCCCGCCGGGCAGCACGTCGGAATAGCACTTGACCTCTGAGTGAGTCACTTTCATATAGTATAATTAGATGTCATTTCTGGGTACCTCACGGACATCTCATTACTACTAACTAGCATGAGTCCCCAAAACCTAACATGCCAACTCAGCGGTACACAACTCGTTCATGGTGATCATGGACCAGGAAGTGAAGTGGCTCCTTCCATCTCTGTCACCACGAGTAAGTTCTCCGCTACTTGCTAGGGCAGCAGTTCATCATCTATGTAGCGTTCCGAAGAGCTGTGCCTTATGAAGGCCCTGAGAGGCTTGGAGCGATGGATCCCGAGAGACATGTCTATTCCCGCTATTCGCAAAATGTCACATCGAGAGTGGAACAGATCTTGAGTAAAGTGAATGTAGGTCTCATTGCAGGAAAATTTGGAACATGCCTTATCCATGCCTTATCTCCTTAGCAAGGACATGCAATCACCTATGCGTCAGGATTAGCTGCTGCATTTTCTGTGAGTTGCCATAACATCATGTCGATGCAGCATGCAGGTAGTTGACCAAAGTGACTCTATGTTTTGATAGGCGCTTGTCCACTTTAAACCCAAACGCATTGCAATTTCCGGAGGATATATGGGCTGTCACGGCTCCATATCCACTTACATCAAAGGAAGGTTTACCGATACCCCGATTATTGGCCTAGACGATGAATTCCGAGAGGGAGATCTCTGCTGGCTTGAGAGCCCCTTGAACCCTACGGGCGAATCGAGGCAAGTCTCCGAGCTGTTTTGGTTTCAAAAAAATTGATGATCTAGATCCCTGTCAGAAACATTCAATATTATGCGGACAAGGTATATTTCGAAAGAACACAGATTATCAGCAGGGGCACTCATTTTCCGTCACTAAGATCCATGCTGTCGGAGGGAAGTTATTGATAGATTCGACCTTTGGTCCTCCGCCTCTTCAATACCCATTCAAATGGGGGGCAGACTGCGTATTTCACTCCGGTATAGTAATTTCCATCCCAAGCACGACATGACCATTGATATCATCTTGATCTGTCACAGGAACCAAGTACTTTGGAGGCCACTCAGATTTGCTCTGCGGCATTATTATCGTCAAGACTGAGGCTGAACGCACACAGGTATTTGTTATAAAATTACCAAACCAACTGAAGCCCATTTTTGTCAGCTCTGGCACGACCGTGTGTACATGGGAAATATGATGGGGTCCCTGGAATCTTGGCTTTTATTACGATCCCTTCGAACGATGCATCTGCGCATCCCAAGGCAATCGGCAAGTGGCACAGAAATCGCGCAATGGCTCAGCAGAGCCGTTGTTCCAGAGGGTCAGGAATACGATGGTATTCCTGGTGGAGTGGTCACCAAAGTTTGGCACTCTAGCCTTCAGGAGACTGATGTCAATGGGTTTAACCCTTCAGTACAGATGGAAGGTGGATTCAATGCCTGTTTCTCGATCTTGGTGCGTAAACGTGCACAATGCACGATTCTGTCCTCATTCGAATAAAAGCTTGCAAAGAAAGAGTACGCGGAGAAACTGCCTCACTCACTGGAGTATTTTGTGGTAAGACACTTCCATCAGGAAGCAGCGAGCGCATTGATGACTGATATACCTCAGTCGGCAACCAGTCTTGGCGGTGTTGAGTCTTTGGTAGAGCAGCGCATCCAGTCAGATCCGAAGGAAGATCCCCTTCTTATACGCCTGAGCATTGGTGTAGAAGAAGTGACAGTGAGTCTCAGCGTGCCTTACTGGTTTTCTTTTCGTTGAGCATTCGCATTTATGTTAGGACCTGAAGGACGACTTGCGAAGAGCACTTGTGGAGATATCAAAAGGAATTTAGAGCGAAAAGTGCATGGATGTCATACAATTTGTGAAACATAGCTATCCCGGGTGACAAGTCTGGAAGCTGAAAATTGGCTGTACAAACTTTGAGTCGGAAATGAGTTTGGCTTTATTATTTTCAGAAGGCTTTGCCAAACAGCAGTACACAATTCATGGACGCGTCACAGTGATCGCAAGCCGCGTCAGCTACGTTATTAGCATCTTGTATTCGACTACCATGAACTCCATCTTACAGCGTTATTCAGGGTCAAATGCAGGACTTTCTAAATCAACGATAGATGAGGACAATGATTTCTCAGATGCAATGTGGGGTTCTGAGGCTGGCTTCGGTACCCTGGCAAAGGGAGTGCCAGGCTTCGTTGTTCCATCTGTTCCAGACGTGGGTCTACTATTATCGTCCTCAGTGCAATTAAAAACTACGTGCAACTCTCGCAGCCTGCCGCATTCTTGAGGCTACACACCGATGATCATGCAGACCCGTCTTGCAGAATCAAGATCCAACATGGAACAACCACGCTTGCATTTAGATTCCAAGGCGGCGTAATTGTGGCTGTCGACTCGCGTGCTACCGCTGGAAGCTACGTCGGTATGTATATATCAGGTAGCATTGTTGCTTTTCTAACACGTTCTTTAGCATCTGGAACAGTCAAGAAGGTCATTGAGATCAACCCATACTTGTTGGGTACGATGGCTGGCGGTGCTGGTATGAAATCGACCCATTGTATTTATTGGCTTTGACGTATCATCTCCAGCTGATTGTCAGTTCTGGGAAACATACCTTGGCATGCATTGTCGATTGCACGAACTCAGAAACCGCGAACGGATATCAGTATCAGCTGCTAGCAAGTACTTGAGCAACCTTGTGTATAGTTATAAGGGAATGGGTTTAAGCATGGTCAGTCTTCACATGCTAGGTTTCCCACTAAGTCCGTTAACAGTTTTTAGGGTACGATGATCTGTGGCTGGGACAAGACCGTTAGTGCCAGTGTAAATATATGGATAACCCACAACTGATTCATGTTGAAGGGTCCAGCAGTATTCTACGTTGACTCTGATGGTACGCGGTTGAAAGGCGATCTGTTCTCAGTAGGATCGGGAAGCACATTTGCCTATGGTGTCTTGGATCAGGGGTATCGGTGGGATCTTACGGACGAGGAAGCACAAGAATTAGGACGGCGAAGTATCTATGCCGCTGGACACCGAGATGCGTTCTCAGGTAACACTTGCAACCTCTACCATGTGAAGGAGGATGGCTGGAAGTTCATCGGTACGTTAGCAAGTCATTTATTATGTTCACTGTGACTTACTTTCATGTTCAGGAAACTATGATATCACAAAGCTGCACTATGAAGGACCAGGAAATGTTGCCGGCTCACCTGGTCATGGGTACGGCTATGACTTACGTGTGGAAGGACACAGTTCAGCCAATCCTCCCGAAGCACAAGCACAGGCGTGATACTTTACTGTATAGATATGTATCCGTAGTAAAAGTTGAACGCAGTGTTTCCACCTTCCAAGCTTCATAGCACACCTCTGAGTTACTTGTCTCGGGGCTTGAAATCAAATCTGACAATATGTTACATACTGTACCTGTTCAACTTTTTGTTGTGACTTCCAAATTGGCTCAACGCTAGGCTACAGCTCTCACCTTTACGAGGCCACGACTCAAATTTAGAAGGGTGGTCGATATAGTTACTAGTAGCCACGGTGGAGTTGGGTGGACCCGACGGAGTCCTTAAGTATAACTACGGCGTGCACGACAGAAGACTTGTACAATCATGAAACGTCTGTTCTCCAAGTCATCCAAGAATGCAACTCCTAGTTCTGCCAAATATTCCGCTCCTGAGCCGCCAATGGCTGGTCGTACGGCGACAGCACTCCCCACGGCTACCACTGCTGGTCTGCAACCGAATTATGTCGTTCCTCCAGTTCCACACCCAAATCCTCACGAGCACATTACGTTGCTCGCATCGGAGGATGGTCTGCTCATGCGTCCGCACTGCGCAGGACTGCCTTACCCCGTGTCATATGTCCGCGTATCATGGGGCAAGACAACACACATAGCAGAACTGCCCAGCGATCGTGGAAGGCCTTCTGTTGATTGGAAAGAGGGTGTGGTCATCTATGGGATTGTGGGCTTAATGGCCTTGTTCAATGGTAACAAGACTTCGTCATCTGTTCACTCGATTAAATCAGAACTGAATACTCTTCGGCTAGCCTCATACCTCTTGGTCATAACGTCTCGATCTGATGTCGGGCAAAGTGAGCGACTTCTATCTTCGAACATAGTAAGACTCACATAAAACTCAGTGTTTGATGCCTCACACCTGATTTATGGGGTGAAAAGTGTTGTATCCATACCCCTCGTGAAGGACCGTGCCAAATCAATCCTTTCACGCATGGCATCTCGTAACACGTCTGTAAACAGACCCTCCCTTCTTGTGAGCAATATAGACGATCTCCAGGTCCCTAATGAAGGGACCTCGGGGGAGCCTCGCGTGAAATTTGCAGATGAGGAGGAAGTGAAGATCCTGACTCCACGCGATCAAGTGGAATTCTCCGTTAATAACACCGGTCGACCTGCCTCACCTGTATCATCCGGTGCTTCAACTCCTGCTTCCGATGTGTCGATGACCCATTCTCCTGTATCGACGATTGCAAATCGCATGTCGTTCTGGGGCCGTCTATCGAAGCGCACATCGAGCACATCCGAAGGAGCAGACATAGAGGAGTCTCTCCTTGATGAACGAGAGTTGTTTGATTCCATAATACACGATGCAGCGGGAGTACCTGACAAGGTGATCAGTTCCATCATAGCTGCAACTGCACCACCACCGGATAGCTCAGAGGAGCGTAACTCTGAGCTCGAGGCACGCATTTTACGTGGATGTCTCAGAGAATTCACGAAAGGCGACATGTACTTTGCTCTACATTTCGGTGAGTGCACGCATCATCGCCCGCCAGACATGCAAGTCATTGTTTTCTTCAGACATCACAAGATCTTTGCAACACAAACATGAGCAATTCACCAAGATGCATACTCGAAACAAGCTACTTTCGGAACTGGATGCTCTTCCGAAAGACACGAATGTTAACCCGCTAGACGACAAAGTGGACCCTCTCTTCGAGCCATCTGTTATATTACCATTGTGGAGACGGGTCGACCGTCATTTTTGGTGGAATGAATGGTTATCCAAGCCGTTTATGGACGCTGGTGTAAATGCCTTGAATTAAACATTCGTTTAGCATTGACTGATCGATCTAATCCTTAGCTTCACTCTTATGTGACACCGATAATGCAGGGATATATTCAGATCTCCTCGTTTGATCAACCCAAAGATACCTCCGCCATGAAAGATGATTCAGCGGAGCCCGTTGATTACATAGTTATCTCGCGACGCTCCAGGGATAGGGCCGGTTTGCGATATCAACGCAGGGGTGTGGACGACGAGGCTAATGTAGCTAATTTTGTGGAAACGGAAGTAATCATGAGAGTTCAGGTGAGCAGTTCAGTTTCTACTATTTCGCTGAGTTTGAGACTCCTCAGAGGAACGGAATAAGCAACGTTTTTAGCCATGTGCAAATTCGAGGCTCAAGTAAGCAGTTGTTTGCTGAATACGCGATGCATTGCATGACCCGTTTCAAGTTCCGCTATTTTGGACGCAGTCAGGTTACAGTATGAAGCCACCTCCTGTCCTTGCACCCGAAAGAAACCCTGCGCAGAATTTGGACGCCATCAAACGCCATTTCCGTCGTGCTGTCCCTGTGTACGGTCCACACGTAGGGCTCGCAATCGATATCTAATATCACGTCATTCACCTTTCCTTAGACTATTGTTAATCTTGCAGAACAACATGGGAAGGAGGGAATGATTACAAATGCGTATCGTGAATATGCAACTAAATTGGATGCTAAGGATGTTCGGTAAGCTCACAATGGCAAATTCTGATAACAGAACTCGAATGTTGTCACAGATACTGCGAATTCGATTTCCACCGCGAAACGAGGGGACTGAAGTTAGTATCATTTACTTACGGATAACGCGTTCCTGATATTAGCAGGTACGAAAACATTTCCAAGCTCATCAATCAACTCGAACGTGTGTTTGAAAACCAAGGGTACGAATATTCTGTCATCCGACTTTCTTCCACATTACGAGCTCAATAAAATAGGTTCTTCTGGGTTTCGAACAGCATGCTCCTATCAAAACAGAAGGGTGTATTCAGGGTTAATTGTATTGATTGTTTAGACCGCACTAACGTTGTCCAAGTGAGCCGTAGGTCCCGCCCTGTTCCCCTTTCTAACATCAGCCACAGTCTGCCTTTGCAAGGCATGTGATGAGCATGCAGCTTGAGGCTGTAGGACTTCTGAGTCCTCCCCAAAGCGGAAAGTCGGGAATGGAGGTTATTTTTAATGATGGTTAGTGGTTGTCGTTCTTTTTAATAACGGAATAATAGAGAGTTGCATAGTCTGGGCCAATAATGGTGATGCGATCAGTCGCGCATAGTAGGTTCAAAACGATTTGTCGGAAAGCTTGCTCTTACCTTAGTCCTCTCTTGAAGTGCTGGTACATCTGCCTTAAAGGTAAGTGTTTGATTCACTTCTAAAACCTAACTCGAATGAGCTGACTGTCTATCGGTAGGGTGATTTTACCAGGTCAGCTAATCCTTCCCTGTATCTTTTTACTATTAACTGGATAAGTCAGGACTGGGAAGCGAGACTTGGGGGGGATGCTCAACGATGGTGTAAACTCCCTTGCTAGAATGTACAGCGCGACTTTCAGCGACTGGTTTTGTCAAGCTATCATCGACTTTATGCTTGGCTACAGGACTCTCTCTGTTTTCGAAGAATTTCTCATCAAGTTACAGTCGACTGATCCTAGAGAACTCATTCGTTTGTCAAGGATCAGAGCAGAAGCTATAGCAACTTCTGTCGCTCGTGTATTATCTGAAGGCGAAACTTTGATATCTGGATGGACGATCTTCAGCCCGGAGCAATTGAATGTCAAATTCGACGATCGATTCGAGGAGAAAGTGTTACTCTTAGTGAGCATCAGCCATGATTTGTTCAGCATTATTCTGACCATGAGCTAGAGTGCCCGCGCTCTGTACATTGTCGTACGTCGTCCAATAACACGTTGGAAATATCTGACTGTCCCAAAGAGCTATGACTACAGCCTGGAGAAGACCAAGATGTATATCTGCGTCCCTTTGGGTGCGATCGCACGACTCGAGAAAGGTCACGTTGGTTTTTGTTGACAGGTCAGGTAGCTCAATTGTCAGATAGGCGCTTATATCATCTCTCCTCTGGAAGAGGCGAGCAGGGATCCAGTGCAGAACGCTGGCTTTTCGATTTACTGGCATGCCAGCAATAAAATCAGCATGCGCATGACGAGTTATTCAATCAGAAACTGTCCGGAAGACCCCCTGACGAGATCACCGCCAGCGGTATCGGTCAGTAGTTCCACTCAGTACAAGCCGACGCTACCACGTCGCGAGCCAACGAAGACCGCCAACCTATCAGGGATCATGTCTAAAGTTTCGGAGAACGCGGCTGGTGCGACCGACGTCTGTTTTGCAGCTTTCAAAGCCCTCCCAGTAGACCCTGCTCGAGTTAGAAGTGGATCCAGCACTGGATATGCTGAGCCTGCGGATGATCTCGCGGGAGCGACTACTTGCAAGCAAGTCGTTGACATGATGGTAGACAGCATTAAACGAGCTTGTGAGGATGCAGGAAATTCTCCTGTTATCACGGATCGCGATGTAGTCAGGTGGGTAACGCGCCAAGAATGCTTCTATGACATAATACTCATTTCGAGAGCAGTCTCACTGAAGCTCAAAAGATGACCAGTATCTATGCTAAAATGGAATATGGCGTCAAGCGGTTAATTTGGTTGGGAGGTTTGGTGTAAGGCGAGGTTTAGTTCTATGTAATGATTTACTTCGTGGGCTCTTCGCTATTACATAGAATAGCCTGAGGCAACACAATGGCAACAGCCCTGAGACCGGTCTGCCGTCACTAACACACAGCAAACCGCTTGGTTCTTGTCCAATGGGTCCAAGCCATATGGTGGACACTACCTACAATAAGAAGACCTTCAATCCAATAGCAACACAATGACAATAAACTGACTGAGACCGATCCACTCTGCAGTCAGGACAAACTCATAATAGATGTAGTTATTTAATAATTTATATAATTTCTCTCCATAAAATAATGACGGGCAACTTATATAAGCGTTACGGAGGACTTGCAAGTCCCCCCAATATTGTCACAAGTCCTACAAGCTTCTTTGCTACCCCAGTCACCACTTCACTACTTCTATATCAACATGGTTCATCTCGTCACTTCCGATAATGTGGAGTTCGTAGTCGACAAGGAGGTTGTCGAGCGCAGTGTTCTCATTAAGAACATGCTTGAAGGTACTCTTCTTTTTATCTTTGCCGTCCATAGGAGTAATTTTGATCTTTCTCAGATGTTGGAGAGACCGATCAATCTATACCCTTGGCTAACGTTTCCTCTGCCGTACTGAGGAAGGTGAGCATCTAAGATATTTACTGATCAAACATTTTCTTTGCTCTATAGCTAGACAACCACGTGCTCACACTCCACTATTGCACAGGTCATAGAGTACTGCGAACACCACAGGGGTGAACCCTTGCCTAGCGCAGACGCCGACCAGAATCAGGATGAGACCCGCAAGCGGACAACCGATATCAGCGAATGGGATCAGAAGTTCATAACTGTTGACCAAGAGATGTTGTTCGAGATCATCCTCGCTGCAAATTATCTCGATATCAAGTCGCTTCTGTGAGTCACAAAGATGATAGTTACAATACTCGCTCTAACCACCTTCAAGCGATGTCGGATGCAAAACGGTTGCTAACATGATCAAGGGAAAGACCCCTGACGAAATTCGTCGTCTCTTTAACATCGTCAATGACTTCACTCCGGAGGAGGAGGTATGTTTTGTTTGTCTCTCCCACTACTACCACCAGCTAAATTTTGATCAAAGGCGCAAATCAAAAAGGAGAACGTAAGTCCCAACTATCTAACTCTTATAAATCATCTCAAGTCTTCTTCAGGAATGGGCAGAAGACCGATGAGGGATCAGTTTATAGAGTTTACTGTTCTAGCTATCTTTCTATCGTCGTGTCATTACCAGTTTCCATCGTATTACAGTTTGATTTGTCCTCGTAGTTTTCAAGTTCCTATGGAACAATAATCTTACGCAGTGTGCCACAAAGGCTGGCATGTGCTTACATAAAGTCACAGCTACTTTCACAAGTCAAACGTACTTCAGTGAATTTTGTCCTCCTTTCTGTCCCGTTTATGCCACGGATCCCAACCATACCAGGAGCTGTCATTTCGCCACGCTCTGAACAAGACCGGTGGTTGAAGGGTCATGTAGCGAGACTTTGCCAGCTGGATCATGAGCGGTACAGTGCCTAACTGACATGCAGTCGAGAAGTTCATAACCTTGTTTGTCCTCAGATTTCCCGGTAGTCAACCAGTTAGTTTTGCATTGGAGCATTTGCAACAGCTGGAGCATCGCGAGTGAGTAGCAGACTTTGTCAGTATGGAAATCAGTCTGCCGACACCTCTCATTCGTTTTGGCTAGTTACTGGGTGTGCGAGAAGTCTGATGGTGTTCGCGTCCTTTTCTTCCTCCAAACAGACCTTACATCAGGCACTCAAGCAGTTTATCTTGTGCGCGTCCTCCTTGGCCTCTATACACCCCTTGACGTTACCTAGATCGACAGACATAATGATTATTACGAAGTTCCAGGATTCTGGTTTCCTCATCACGAACGACGGAAGGAGCCTTTGAGAGATACCATTGTCGATGGAGAGCTCGTCATTGATGTAGACCCTCGCACCAAAAAAGTAAGCAAGAATTGCAACACCGTTCGACGCTTCTGTTAAAATGTCACATTTTTCTCAGGAAACATTGCGGTTTCTCGCGTTTGACTGCCTTGTGGTTGATGCGCAGAATGTCATGTCGCGAACATTGGACAAACGATATGGTGTATGTGCTCCATATCCTCGGCCCATAGATCTAGGTGCTAATTGAGTTTGTAGCGTCTCAAAGAATGGTTTTTCAAACCCTTCTCAATGATGATGCAAGAATTCCCTCACATGGCAGCTAGCCAGGCTTTTGAGTGCGTGATCTGACTCGGAAGTACGCTTGTCTCTAACACGCTTATTAGCATCAAGGTCAAGAATATCAGCTTCTCCTATGGCGTTGAAGAAGTGTTCCAGGTAGTCATTCCAGCACTACACCATGGCAATGACGGCCTCATTTATACCTGCGTGGAGACGCCATACGCCTCAGGTACTGATCCAAACATGTGAGTCTATTAGCCATGGCTATGGGACGATACTAATTTCAATTCCAAGACTGAAGTGGAAACCTCCTTCCGAGAACTCCATTGATTTCAAGCTCGTGTTACGGTTCCCTGCATTAAAAAGTAATCTATCGAAGCCAAACTATCACGCGAAACCATTCTTCGCACTTCATGTGTACTGTGGCGATGAACAAGGACGACCGAAATACGAACCTTACGATGAACTCTTTGTTGACGATGATGAGTGGGAGATGTAAGGACTTTCACCCAATATTTTTTGCAGCTGACGGATAAATTTGCCAGGATGAAGTCATCAGGCGAACAAATTGACGACAGGATTGTCGAAGTTCACTGGGATCCTGTTACTTCTCATTGGCGCAAGATGCGCTTCAGGGACGATAAACCCAATGGCAACTATCGGACGGTAGTTGAGAGTATCATCCAAAGCATTGCTGATGGAGTCGAGAAGGATGTGGTATGCCATTTATACGCTGCTCGGGAATCATGTGCTTAATTTCAATTCAGCTCCTCGAGCGCTCTGCGGTAATAAGACATGCCTGGAAAGCACGCGCTCGGCCGCAGCAGCCCTCTCAGAGAGGGCCAGACAATGCCACACGAATGCCATCAAACGGGCCCTCACTAGGGCATGCCCCACCACCAAATGTTCCATTAAAATATGGCCCTCTCGCCACTTCGCGTTGGAGCAGGGTGTCCGGGCCCCCAATATTTGCTGGCATGCAACGTTGATCCAACTCACGCATCGGATCGCACTCTATCATGATAAGCAACCGGAATTACAAACCGTTTGTACGTTCATCGGGTTGTTATCGCCTGTCGCACCCTCCATCAGATCGCCCGTGAAATAACTGAGTGACATCTCGGTTGTTGTTCCGGGGATGCATCTCGCCGAATATGGACATGTGGAGGCTCTGCACAATAACTGACCTCGCTTGATACCCAAAGAATGGAACGCCTTTCGATTTGGCACTATCAATATGTTTCACTTGATACATTCGTACAGGGTCTTGTTTCGATATCAAAAGCATGAAGTGTACAAAGTCTGGGGTGACTGCAAGTACACTAAGTCGTAAGTTGAAACGTCGTGACGGGTCGTTAAAGCACAGCCAATATGGATTCGGATGGAAAGCATTTTGGGAACAAGATCGGTGGAAAGCAGGCACGGATGCATGTCTAGTCGTTACAGATGGTGATGGAGATAGGGAAGCAACAAGTACGTAGCGCTTTTGAGTTTGACGCCATTATGAGCGCGAGAACGGAGAATATGTGGGAGCGTAAAAGGCGTTGCTTAGGCGTAAATCGTAAAGCTCTGGAACAGCAGGCAAAAAACAGTTTTCCACTGGAGAGGCAAAAACAAGCCTCATGTGCCCAGTCTGAAAAGCCTCGGAGATGTACGCGTGAAATTACAAACTGTGGATGGTATGCAAAAGATGCGATAAAAATGAGATTGAAATGGATGAAATCTGAAACGGAGAGTTATGGGGTGGCGTCTGCCGGCGGCGGCGGCGAGGATGTAGATCCAGAGCGGATGGGATTTAAGAGCGAGAAATTGACGAGAACTCATTGAAAGATGTTCTGGTCGAGGGAGAAGGAAGAGGCTCCGTCGGAAAAGTGATGAACATCATCTCCGAAGTCACGACACTCTGCGAAAGTGTAGGAGTGCAGTCCGAAGAGCGCGAATGAAGGCCGCGAGATGACGCCTATAGCAGGTAGCGCAAATTCGGAAGGAAGTTCAAGATTATGGGAAGTAGCGTCTGCATCAATCATAGTGAAGCGAATGCTCTCCAAAGGAGCTTCGGGGATCTCGGGAGTGGACTCGAGGGACGAAACCGAGGAGTCACGGCCGTGTCTCCTGCCGGTAGGAGAGTGAGGGGCTATGGAGAGTGCAGCAAATTGACTCATAGGAATAGACTAGATAGTGATATGGACGGTCAGACACCATCATTATCGATAAATAGTATCAAGGTCTTACCTGGGCGAAGTCTATAGGGGGAAGGTCGTGCAACATGAGCGGGGGCGTCTGTGGGCTGTTTGAAGAGCCCGACAGGGTAATGGCGCCGCCCGCGGAGACATACATGCTGTCTTGTACTTCCTGATCTGGTTCAACCTGGTCCTGGGTCGCATCAAGGTCACGCTGTCCATCAGAAACCCGCCACCACTCAATGTCCGCGAGGACCCTGCGTTCAGTCACTTCCGAGTCAGAGGAACGACGAGAACCATGACCTGCAACACGCGTACGAGCGTTATTTACACTACCATTTGATAGTGAAGTTGGGTATGGGTTCGAGCGAACCGACAGAGATGAAAAAGAACGACGAAGGGAAGGCATTGAATGGGTGCAGTGATATGACTACGAGTTGAAGGACCTTCCGACCAGAGATTTTAGGACCAGGAGCTGCCTGCCGCAGAGCCCACTGGACGATAGCGAGGATGAGGAAGACAAAGATTGTGGGAAACTAAATATTCAGGGTTTTATAATTTCGGATAAATCATTTAAATGTGACCAAGGGACGATGTGAAGAGTGAGCGTCATGAACTTTTGTGAATGTCTGAAGTGGTTCACAAGAAGACGCTCGCTGGCAGCCGTCACATCAAGGCACTTATGACAACTATTTACATACTACTAACGGTACTATACTGACTCGAGCTAGCTAGTGACTATAGTTACCTACCTGGACTGCGCAGTGCGCACGTACTTAGTGAACGGGCCCGAGAAGGGCATAGCCAGATGATCATCTTCACGACCAATGTTGTTGATACGAACTACAAGGATCATTTAGGCGCGCAACTGTCAGTCCCACACAGCCTGCTCACGTACCCTTTGATAACGATGTCGGGAGACCTGCCAAACCTCGTCTAGTACCGGGCCTGTTTCATGGACTTTAGCCTGCTAAACGGCCTCAAGCTTGATTATAGTAATCGGCTCCTTGTACATGATAAATTTGGTCAGATCAGCCGGCCGAGAGATACAGTGTTCCTCACTCATTCCCGGCAATCGAAGACTCGTGCAGAGCTCGTGCACGTCTTTTTCGGTCCCATCTTCGCACTTGTATTCGTCACAGGACCGACTTCATGCACTTAATTCCCGTGCCATGCTTGCTGTTTCCGTACGTCGGAATCGCATAGGCAAGAGGCATTGTATCAGTGAACCGGCTAATTCGTAATCGCAAAATTATAGTCGGATCTCAAGCGTGTCTTCGGTACTTATACCCTAGCGGCTCATGCTGCACATCCCCACAGTCGTCTACCCACCCATACCGCTAACGATGTGCACCGTCTACTATGGTCCAGTCATTAGCCCGCAATCACTCACTGACTACCTTGCTCTTCCTCAATGTTTAATATGCGTATCTCCACAGGGTAACATCGAATGGCTCGTTGAGGATGTAGAAAGCACAAAGCTCAACGATGTCCTCTCGCAGCATGATTATGCCCCTTCTGATATCACTCTCATCCGTTTGGATGATGGGGAATTCCTCATGCCTGGCTTGGTTGATACCCATACAGTCCGTCCAGCGCCTTACCAGAGCGTTCATATCTTGACCTTGTTTCGTTTGTACCTGTAGCATGCTTGTCAAGTCCCTAACCTTGGCGTGTAAGCATTCTGATTCTATCATGTCCGTCCTCTCCTTATGCGCGTCTTTCAGTGGTGGGGAGTTAGAACTCCTGCAATGGCTCGACAATTACACGTTTCCGACGGAAGCTAGGTTCAAGGACGTCGAATATGCCAAACGCACTTATCCTCATGTCGTACGGCGCATAGTCAACTCGGGTGTAAGCGATCGGTTCATACGCTTAATCATCCTGTTGACGCTGAATTAGACAACGACATGCTGTTATTACGGTAGTTTGCATCTAGAAGCAACCAAGGTTCTAGCCAGTCTCGTCCACACCGCGGGTGAGTTTATCCCAAGTTGTCGCATCCGAACGACTAGCTGAGACGATGGAACAGGTCAAAGAGCGTTTGTCGGAGTACGTATCCTTCTGGAAAGCTACAACCGAATTCTAATTGCTTGATTTGCACATCAGAAATGCAATATGAATCGGAATTGTCCATCTAATTACATCGAACCGTCTGTCAAAGAATCTGTCGACACCACCTTGGCTTTAATCAACTACATCGAAGAGCTACCAAAAGCTGCTGACGGCGAGACATTGCTACATCCCATCCTTACCCCGCGTTTCGCTATCTCATGTACCGAGGAACTCTTGACGCGTCTCGGCGAAGTCGCGCAGAGCAACCCAGAGCTTGCCATTCAGACTCACATCTCTGAGAACAAATCCGAGGTTGAACTGGTTAAAAGCCTGTTCAAGACTAACAGTTACGCAGAGACGTATGACAAGTTCCATTTACTTCGCAATAACACCGTTTTGGCACACGGCGTCCAACTCACCGAGGATGAAATGGTGCTTATCGCTAAACGTGGCTCGGGGGTAGCACATTGCCCGACAAGCAACTTCTATTTGAGCAGTGGCATGGCTAGAGTCGGCATGCTCCTGGATCATGGTGTGAAGGTAGGTTTTCCGTTTCCCCATAACTTATTGCCATATAACTGACGTTTCTCTTCGATCAGGTTGGATTGGGCACAGATCTCGCTGGCGGCTACTCACCGTCCATACTCGCTGAGATCCAGCACGCCAGCATCGCATCCAAGATGCTCGCTATACAAGCCGTCGATAACAAGAAATGCAAGTGCAACGGAGGCCACTCGGAGTCATCGTCATCAGGTGAAGAAGACGGCCATTCGCGCGGTCGTCATGGTCACAAGCAGCCTGGACGGTTCACCAATCAAAACCTATCTATTGCTACTCTCTTGTACCTCGCTACTCTCGGTGGGGCGGAAGTCTGTTGTCTACAGGACCGCATTGGCTCGTTTGAGCAGGGAAAGGCGTTCGATGCTCTCCTTGTGAGCGTCCGAGAAGGCGATACGGGGAACCCTGCGGTATGGGGTTACAATCCTGACCGCGACTTGACCCATGGTGTCACCGCACAGAGCGCGGACAACAACTTGATAGAATGGTTAGAACGCTTCTTGTTCTGTGGGGATGACAGGAACATTAAGAAGGTGATCGTACAAGGAAGGACGATTGGTGGACGGGATTACCATCCGTTACGGTAAATACTCATTAGAAGCGAGCTCGGATGCATAATTTGGATGTATACCTACATGGCTATAACAGTAATATACAACAGTCCCTTGGAGACTCTCTTGTGCTCTCGCCAGTGGTGATCGATGATCCTTGATACGTAAGAATACAAAGCATGATAGATACAGCGGCTGGTGATATATATTATCCATCCTTATCCTTCTTGTAATCTCCAAATTCCCATTTAAAACAGTCCTATGAACAAGGTGTCAGTCGAATGAAACATAACGAAAGTACTCCCAGAACACTAACCACACAATCCTCTTCTTCGCGGGCGACAGGGACATCCCATTCATTCCCGTCTTCATCCGGCCAACCGTCCTGCAGGTCCAAAACTTCTAGAATGACTTCCTTAATGACATGCTTACGCAAGTCAACATGCCACCCCAGTTTCTGGACAGTATCGTACACGATACTCTTTCCCAAATGACATCTCGTTTCAAGAGCATAGCCACCCTGAGCGCATGGGGAAGCAATACCAGTACACGCTCCCTGAGGTATCGGATCGGCATTATGGTATACATGTGTGATAGGCACCGGAGGTCGAGAAGAACCTCCGATAGGGGGCGGAAGTGGGAGGTGAAGACGATTCGCTGCCATCCTTTCACCAGGAGCCTCGAATGCGACAGCTGGTAATCCAAAAGTGGAACCAAGGAGAGAAGCAAGACTTCCTCCGAGACTATGGCCCACAAGCCATATGTCAGCGAAAGGGTATAGAAATATCACATCTTTCACGAGTTTCTGGGGATGCGAGGATGTTAATCTTTGTGGTGGTTAACGCGGGTGATCGACTTACGACGCCCGTGGAATAAAAGAGGCTGTCCTGTATGAGAGCTTTGGACAAACATGTGTCGTCGCATCGTTGATGTAAAGCTGACCAGGAATAGCAGTTGCAGACTGTAGAGAACGTCCATGAAAAATCAACGCGGGCGCAACAGCACGAGAAGAGTAGATTATCGTTGAGTTTATCTTTCTTTGATGTAGGTCCCTGAAGCGTGGTTCCTTTGATTGAGAGTACGACTGTAGACCTGTCTCTAGAAGTGAAAACATGGCCACGGAATCCGTCTTCATCGTTATCCCACCCGAATGGAAAGCTCTGGAAGGGTTGTTAAAAAGTGAGCATAAGTAGTGGGGAGACGCACTCACAGTATTGACGTCCCAGGATGGATCGAGGTCGTACCAGTTCTTGTGGCCTGGAAGTTGATACGCATTGGCAGTCATGCGTGCCAATTGTGAGAGGGTATGCCTGTCTTCTATGTCTGGTCCTGAGACTACCTTCTGTTCCCATTCGATGGGCTCAGTCTCGGCATGAAGAAGTGACCGTAACCGAGCGTGCTCGTGAGCATCGAGAGATTTCGGGCGGTAGACAGTTATTGGTCGGGTCTTTAGAGAGATTGCGGGTGGCTCAGACAGCGGTGTAGGATATGCAACAGTGAGAAGGAGTTGATCTTCTGCAACAGGAAGAACGAATTGATTGTGGAGATCGAAGTTGATCCGGTTTGGGACGACAGTTGCGTCGGAGGCGATAACAACTTGAAGGATGTGAAGGAGAGTTGTGATATGCAACAGATCAGAATACATGTTACCACCAAATATTGTGATAAATCATCGAGAGGGTGTCGGTGGGTACTTAAGACAGTGACTCTTACTCTCTTGCTTTGCTCTGCCGAAGTACTGTGTCAATGTAGTCAGACCTTAAGGTACACGACATAAATGGCCCAGAGGCTGTTCAAGCAACCACGTGGATCGCTAATGGCTTTATCTGATCATCTTGCTACAAAGTAGCCGCTGGGCGTCGCCAGTGGTATTAACATCGTGTTTAGTCAATCAGTCCAAGTCAAAGACGATGTCACTACATTTCGTTGATACTTTTGGGATAGTAAGGTTATTTATCCACCCGCCCTTCTTTGATCCGCCCACGACCACGATCATAGCGCTTCCGTCCGAGATCGAATAACTGTGTTATACCAGCGGAGGCCAACCATGCGAATACGGGGGTAATTCTCATACTACGATGATGTTGGATAAGACTCGAAGAAGCAAACTGCTTGCAAGCCATCGAGGTCTCCAAAGCCTGCTGTGAACGTGTACCTGCCAACCATAGGGTTACCCCCAATGTTTATTAGAGTTCTGTTGCTCAGAAAAGTCCCGCTGGCACAAGATGAGTTGTATTCGACCTTGAGGGGCCTAACGGCATGTATCCGAAGGTTGAACAAGGCAGCCCATGCTGGGTGCCCCAATCGACACTGATTACGCTCAACCTTATGGATGATAAGAGCGAGAGTATCGGAGATCATGGTAAGCTGCATGACAGATACGCCGGTTATGCCCCTGTGTTCCAATGTCCATCAGCGAAGGACTGAATTTGTACTGCTCAGGTTGCTGGGTTTGACATGGACAGCATTAAAATACTGGATACAAGGGGTATTGATAATGTCCATTTTGAGCAGAGAACAAATTCGGCATTCCAACAGCAGGTGGTGTGGGTGGGAGGTAGGTGGGATGGCGTTCGTGATAGCGGGCAGCGCGATGGTGATCATGATGAACGCATGGCATTGGCAGCCGCGGTATTGGAACCGCTTTGAAAAGGAGTGACGTCATTTTCCCTTTTTGGATTTTAGCGGCAAGCCACGTGACGTGTCGCATCTAGGAGACTGAGCGAGCCATTCTTGTCAAGACTCACCTTGATCCCCACCATCATTGTTATCATGTCTGCTGAGATTGCCGGGTTGGATGTGCAACTTGTTTACAACTATTTTCTTAAGCTGAAGAATTCCTTTGACTTCGAGGGGTTTGAGGAGATAGAAGGCTCAAATGAACCTACTCTAGAGCAGCTGGTCGACAAGATCATCAGTAGATTGAGGAGTCCTTGACATGGTAGGGATTGCTATTATAATCAAGCGTGATATTGCTACTGCACTGCAACACTATAGAAACACAAATAAACTTGTTTTTTGATGAAATAGACATGGACGGTACAGAACTATGTATATCACCACAAATGTTATATCACCACACACCTCACTATACACTGCCGCAATTTTTGCACTTTTGAAACTCAGCTATTTGTCATATTATGACCGCAATTTTGGCTTCCGAATGCGGAAATTCACAAAAACATATTCCATTTTTGTCACCTTCTCATATTAGGCCTCCCCACATTGTTCCCACACTCCGCATTTTCGCATTTTAGCTACCTACTGTTGGAATTACCCCACAACACCCAAAACATAATTCATTTTGGGAATCTCCACAATTTTAATTATTCCCACACCCTTCCCACCCACATTATTGCAGCTTCACCACCACACCACAATAGCTCCCCCTTTATATATATGTATAATATAATATAATATAATATAATATAATAGACTGCTTTTTTTGTTTGTTTGTGTGACTCCTCCTCCTCCAGGGGCAATTCAACATAGGGTAGGGTACAAAACACTTTCGCATTTTTGTCCCTTTGGTGGGAAAGTGTTCTATTATATTTAGAACATGTTTATAAGCATATATGAGTAGATTCTCATCTTTATTTGACCCCCTGAAGCGTCCTACATCAATAGATATAGCATATATGCAAGAAAACACAGAATATATTCTCATTTAATTATTTCTAGGTGGACAGACTTGGAAAAATGTATCAGGAGCCCAGGACCATAGGATGATACCCTGTTGCATGATATGCCCCCCCTCTTCTGGTGGTTCACCCCCTGTGAAAATTTTTCCTGTAGGACTGGACCTTAATTGAGGTGAGGGGTCTATTTCTATGTATATTTGGAGTAGATCTATCATATAGCTGGCCCAGGACACACATAGAATCCTGCTGCAAGAACAAAAACATAGAAAATCCCACTTTTGACATTTTTTATGTTTCTCAGTATCTTACTCTTGCATAAATAATCCTCACACATATGTCATTTCACTTGTCATTCAGTCAGTCTTTCATGGATCTTTCTAAAACTTCAAATACATTATCAGGGATATATATGGGAGGTATTCCAGGTATCTGATCACTTATCACAGGCTTGATTACTATATAGGCTTCTTATCAGTAGAAATACTCCCTATACATCAGATATCAAATTTGCGCCCTATGTAGGGCTGATCCTTGGTACAGAATATATATGTGAATGTACTACCTATTATATATGAGCAGGGCTGGCCATTTATGCAAGAGTAAGATACTGAGAAACATAAAAAATGTCACAAGTGGGATTTTCTATGTTTTTGTTCTTGCAGCAGGATTCTATGTGTGTCCTGGGCCAGCTATATGATAGATCTACTCCAAATATACATAGAAATAGACCCCTCACCTCAATTAAGGTCCAGTCCTACAGGAAAAATTTTCACAGGGGGTGAACCACCAGAAGAGGGGGGGCATATCATGCAACAGGGTATCATCCTATGGTCCTGGGCTCCTGATACATTTTTCCAAGTCTGTCCACCTAGAAATAATTAAATGAGAATATATTCTGTGTTTTCTTGCATATATGCTATATCTATTGATGTAGGACGCTTCAGGGGGTCAAATAAAGATGAGAATCTACTCATATATGCTTATAAACATGTTCTAAATATAATAGAACACTTTCCCACCAAAGGGGCAAAAATGCGAAAGTGTTTTGTACCCTACCCTATGTTGAATTGCCCCTGGAGGAGGAGGAGTCACACAAACAAACAAAAAAAGCAGTCTATTATATTATATTATATTATATTTATATTATACATATATATAAAGGGGGAGCTATTGTGGTGTGGTGGTGAAGCTGCAATAATGTGGGTGGGAAGGGTGTGGGAATAATTAAAATTGTGGAGATTCCCAAAATGAATTATGTTTTGGGTGTTGTGGGGTAATTCCAACAGTAGGTGGCTAAAAATGCGAAAATGCAATGCCCAAATCAGATTGTGACCAGGCACAGGCTAAAAATAGTGCAGCCAAATATGCAGTAGTAATGGTACACAAGTGATATACAACGGCCCGCTGGGCATCCCAGGACCCTTCTTTGCACTTTTTCTGTTATATTTCCTTTTCTCCGATTACCAATCAGTCATAGCCAAACCCGCTATCCTATCAATCCTCTGCATGATTCTTACATGCTCTCTTAGGTGATAATGTTTACGATCAATCACAGCAGTTTTCGTCCTGGCACGAGAAATGCCGTAGTCATATCTCACGGTCAAGTCTTCATAGCATCTTAATGTACTTTTTACCTGTCTTCATTTTGACAATGGTTTTGGTGCTGCCAGCTGAACTCTGCTTCATCATTCTCGGTATTACGTGAGATATGTGCTTTGTGGAGGCATTTCTAATCAGGGATCCATCTCTCCATTATCCCATTCAGGCTTGCGAGCCTGGTCCGGAGATACCTCTGGTATCGGTCCAGTGTCACGTGGTAGCTCACAACTTATGATGCTCTCCAACCAATCAAACATTTTCACTGAGAATCCTTCTTCAGCTGCCATACGATCACACAAGGCCTGGGGACTCGGATTACCTTTGATCCAAATAAGAAAATGAAGAGTGTCTCTTCCCTGAGCCTCTACCATGCCATAATATGTTTGGCAATGTCTGAAAATGCCTGGGCCATGTTTATATTGCAATATGATGTCAATAAACACTTGAATTTGGAGATCGAAAGCAATTGCCACAGCATTGGGACGACCCGCAACTATCTTCGCCCTCTCAATTGATGTCATCAAATACCATTCCTCAAGCCCCATTTCCAAAAGGATGGGAATCATGCCGCTTGTAAGATCATGTGGGTTGACAGTGACAAACAATGCTGGAGTACTAAATTTTTTCATCAGAGAGCATACAGTGGCTCAAAAAAGTGTCCCAATGTTTGTAGCTTTTCATGTAATTGCTATATCATGTGTCAAGACGTGGGAATATGACTAAGCTATAGGGAGATGTCGGAAAGGTCTGCATCTCAGCTTCATTTCGGTTCCCTATGCCGTGGGAAACTAATGACATTATGTGAAGATATGAGTATTTTAATTTGATGACTCATTGGGACACTTTTTTGACTTTGAGTTTTACTAATGTAATCTCTATAATTCTAGTACTGTGTGTGACCTCCTTCTGCTCCAATCACTTCTGCCACTCTTCTAAACATATTCTCTATCAATTTTGGGTATTCCTCTTTGGTGATTCCATCATACTCTGCTGTAACACTGTCTCATAGTTGGAATAGCCCCTATAGTGAATCTTGATATGCTACAAGTAATTTCTTGAGTGATTCTCAGGGGTATTCAATAGGGTTGATGTCTTGGGTCTATGTTGAACATGATAGAATAGTAATATCATGGTTTGCAAGCTATTGGTGGCTTATTTAGAGGTATACTTAGGGTCATTGTCTTATCACAAAACAGTATCTTCTTCATTAACTCATAACTTCTGCATGCTTCTTAGCAGACACTCCTGTCAAATGAGTATTTACTACTCTGTATTCATCCTCCCCTTTGCTTCATAGAAGATTCCCACTCCATTTTATCTCATATAGTCCTATACCATCAAGTTTTGTCTTGAAACTTAAGGTGTTTATTTAACTTTTCTTTATCTTAATGATTGTCCTATCTATTTTAATATAAATTCCTTGCCATATGATCTCATCCTATTGATTTTAACCTTATCTAACTAGATAAACCTCTTTCAGCTATTAGCAGTCCGATATTTGTACTTGAAAGTAGCATCTTGTCTTTTCTTTTTATAGGTTGGAGACAGAGGAATCTGTTTTTCTTGATTATAGCTTTAAGATGGGCTGTCTTGAGAGTCTGTCTGACTATTTGAGTAGAGATAGTCATAGGAATGATGGAAATAATCAATTTAGTCATTTTATTAGCATCAGCAGTCTTTCCAATTAGAATATAGTGATTAAGAGATCTTAAGTCTTATAGAGCAACCTTCTAGATTGGCTACCAAATAACTTTAAGACCATAATATTACTATTCTATCATGTTCAGCATAGACCCAAGACATCAACCCTATTGAATACCCCTGAGAATCACTCAAGAAATTACTTGTAGCATATCAAGATTCACTATAGGGGCTATTCCAACTATGAGACAGTGTTACAGCAGAGTATGATGGAATCACCAAAGAGGAATACCCAAAATTGATAGAGAATATGTTTAGAAGAGTGGCAGAAGTGATTGGAGCAGAAGGAGGTCACACACAGTACTAGAATTATAGAGATTACATTAGTAAAACTCAAAGTCAAAAAAGTGTCCCAATGAGTCATCAAATTAAAATACTCATATCTTCACATAATGTCATTAGTTTCCCACGGCATAGGGAACCGAAATGAAGCTGAGATGCAGACCTTTCCGATATCTCCCTATAGCTTAGTCATATTCCCATGTCTTGACACATGATATAGCAATTACATGAAAAGCTACAAACATTGGGACACTTTTTTGAGCCACTGTATCTCATTGCGATGACACAATTTATATCCTGCACTACCTTTCAACGACCTTGCCGATGCATGTAAATGATGTAAAAGTTTTGCAGCTTTCTTTTCCTGAGTCATAGATGGCTTTGCATTGACAGAACACATCCACTTCTCTGCCAAACTCATAAGGGAAGGTCCCACATCTCTTAATTCCTCAGCCAGAGTGTGCTGCAAAGATGCCCTGATTCTAAAATTGGTGTTTGTGCTGACCTCTTTGTTCTGGATTATGTTCCAGTAGATGAACATGAAATTGGGATCTCTGACAAAAGGCCCTATAGCATAGTCAGATTCCCACACCCTGACTCATAAGAAAGCAATTACATGAAAACCAACAAACATCGAGACACTTTTTTGAGCCACTGTACAACCACTATGATTAAATCCACTGATATCCCAAGGATCCAAGTGCGGAAATAAAAAAGACATCAAGCCTGGATCGCTGTCAGAGACAAAGGATGAGCCCGCCTTTGACAATATGAACTTGTTATGATCTAATACATGCGCCAACGCATGAAGTTTCATTTTCTCTCAACTCGTTGCTGAATGGTCACCCTTGGTAAAACCTATTGCTTCCATGGTAATATTGCCAGGATCTATGCTGTCTGAAATACTCAGATCGTGTGATTCCAAAGGAAGGAATTGATCAATGGAGTCATCTTTTGATAAATGACATATTTGCAAAGCTTTGGGAATGCCTGTGTCCACATTGCCATCAATATCTTCAAAAAGAGCATCCATATTCTCTTGGCTATACAAAACACCACATTGCTGATACCAAGTATTGTATTCAACTAGAAATTCAATCAGTGTCTTAACTACAGATTTGGTCACTAAAACCAGACACATCTGTTTGACAGTTGCGCGCAAAGGTTTCTCCTGATGACCAGCAGAGATCATGCACGTTGCATCGTGCAATTCATCCTCACTAGGTGGAAGCATATTCCGCAGCTCAACAGAGTCCTGGGGTCTGATAGCAACATTTCCTTGATTATACCACTGAGAGCTTTCCTCAGGCACCCAATGCCCAGATGGCTTGTGAGCATAAAAATGTATGATTTGTGATGCATGCGCACGAGAAACGAACATTAAATTATACATAGATGCTCACGCAAACACATCAGCAACAGAAGGGGGCAACCTTTCATGTCCATAATATTGGAAATTAGTGAGAGAGTTCACAGGTTGATGTGGATGTTTATTGATCAAAGCTGCATGACACTGACGACACATCTGCAGAGCCCCAACTGCCCAGCAATCATACAAGCCTTTTGGATGCAAGATGGCTCTGTCATACAACTCCAAATCATATGTTTGGGGCAAAATGTGCACTGGCAGACAATCATTGCACAATAAATGTAAGGGAACTTGAGATGAACTGACACTTTTCAGCTGTTTAATGCAAACATTATGAGCACAAACAGCGCATACGCCACGCTGTTGCATTATGTAGCTCATCTCGTGTTGCCATTCCTTAATGATATCAACCTTCTCAGGAAATGTACGCATGGTCAGAAACTCAGGATCATCATCAACGTCCTCATCTGTCGATTCATCTGCAGAGTGTATGGCATCAACGCTATGGTCACGTTGAACCTCCGCATGTCGGGAGCATGCAGCACAGCGAACTGCATTCCGATGTGCCAAGTGATCAGATTTAGAAGGAGGTGGCAGCACCACATGAGAAATATCACACCTGGGAGAACGCAGATGCCAAAACACGATGAGATTCAGTGCACATTGTCTGGTGCATTCATGCACCCGAAGGAGATCACGAATATGGTCCTTACGATAAACTGAGATAAACCTGACTGAGTGTGCACGAGCAATTTCAGCATACTGCTTGCGAGTGAAAACAAAAAAATGCTCAAGGATGTGGCCCAAACTCGGTGCAGTAACTGGGAGCAAATCACCAGACGGAAATTGGCGCCCAGTGAAAACAAGCAAAATAGAGGTGGATATAAATCAAATGAGATAGATACAATAAATATAAAACGAAGAACATTGATGTATGTCAATACAAACAATCCTACATTTTGAAGATAAGATCAAATTTACCATTCTGCAGTGTGCACTGCTGCAATGCATCACCATTTCTGCATTTCCTGCATGCAGCTGTCAAGTGTTTTTCACAGCCCTGTACATATTTCCTGTCCTTCCTGTATTGTCTGCACACTCACTCTACTCAAAGTCTGCTGCACCTCGAGATTACTTCGGAGTTCGAAATACTTCAAAACTTCGGGTACCATGTGATGACACTAGCACTGTAGAGAATCATGCCTCTCATGGCGTGATATGGCAGTTTCCACTAGGGAGTATACAGCACAAACTTGCAGCACCACTCTGTGTACTGTCCACAGCTATTCCTATATGAGGCGCAGCTTTCCCGCGCAATGCACGCCATGCGCGCGCCATTCCCGCGCTTCACGATGTATACGCGCGCACGTGTTCCCGCGCTTGAGCGCCCTGTAGCGCCAGCCATCCAGATGCATCCATCCACTGTCCTCCAAGTTCTCTAGTGTGTATATTTCTGTTTCTCTCATTTGTATATTATTCCACCTTATTTTTATCATGGACCCTTACTTATATATATCTCTACATACCTACTCGGTAGCGCTTCGGCTCCACATTACAGCGCTTAGGCGCACTATATAAGCGCCAGCAGTACATACTTGTCAACGAACTTTCCATTTTTACCACTTACCTTACCTTACTTTACTTTCCACCCACTATCTACCTAGAAGAACATAGTAGAAATCCATTTTGTCTACACTTCACATCTCTTTTCTCTTATCTTGCATCATATTATCACTTAAGTCTAACCTCTCTATTGTTTCCGCACGCGCGCGCATGTTCCCACGCCTTGCGCGCACCTGCGCTTTCTCGCGCCTCACTTCAGCGCATACCTCTAGATCTTCACTGCACTCGCTTCCCCTTTAGGGTCGAACGCACTTGTCTTGTCAAGTAACACAGACTAGGCAAAGCACGACCTTACAAACATTTATAGATACAGTCTGGAGCCTCATTTGCTCCTCACAGTATTGTTGTTTCTACAGCTCATCTCACTTCTTCTCGCCATGATTAACACTGTCTACTTGAACAAGACCACAAGCCGACAATCTGGTATGTAGTCAGTCTTTTGGTGGGGTCAGTGCAGACTTCGCTGTACATCTTAGTATCAAAGGTCTGTCTGCTCCTGCTGGCCCTGCCCAGTGCCATGTTACATCATCTCCTGATCTCCTTGTTGCCCGCTGTGTATCTAGTCATATCCACCACCTTCTCACAGGCCACAGATATCATACGTGCACTTTTGCATTGTGTGCTACCTTTCTCGGTCGGCGCCCACCACCACACCATTCTAGTATGAGAGCCGAAGTTCGCACTGCCCTCGCTCATTCACAACACTCCTTGCGAGCCCTTTGTTCAAAATCATTTCAGGTGCATTGGTAGTAGTTTTTCTGTCAGTATTGCGAGCCATTTTTTCAACATCATTCAGGTGCATTAATGGTTTTCTCAACCTTGCGAGCAGCTGGACTCCTCGGGGCAGACATGCTTCTCAATGACTTGGTCCATTTTTGAAATCATCCAGGTGTGTTTGCAAGCCATATCTATTGACATGGACATGCTGAACCTCACGAGGAGCTGGAGGTCAGGGCAGACATGTTTCCCACTCCTCGCGAGCCGTTTTTAACATTTAGGTGTATTAATAGTTTTCCATCAGGGCTTATCATCCGATCAAAGCAGGCTTACCTCTTCCCAACCTATATCTCCGGCATCATGTCCCTCTTCTTCCTCAAAAGAGCCTTCAAGGACTGGACCCACTACACATGGTTCTCAGTTCACCAGGGCCGCAGGTCATGCTGAGCAGGAGTTTGCTGGATCCAACAAAGATGGGTAGTGCTGCAGCAAGGCAAGGCAAGGCAAGGGTGTAGCTGGGTTACTGGGCAGACCGCACTAGTGGGGGCACTGTTTTTTTCCATCATTTTTTGCCCTGCATCATCATGTCTTATTCTGCATCGATGTATATCCCTGTTTAGCGATACCTATCATCTAATTCATATGTTTCATTGTCTATCGATGTAGCTAGATTGCAAGTGTAAAAACTACCTGGAACGAGATCGAACACGTATCAATCTGTAAATATTACTAGTTCGATCTCTATCAATAAAATCGATAAAAGTCTCATTTTTGGCGATACACATTGATTCATATTGAATTGTCAAATTCTATCTACCCTTTTCAATGTGTATTGACCTCTATCTTGCTTGTTTTCACTGGGATTGGCAGACTACAGACAGACAATCTCAAGATACCCCATGATACCCAAAATACTTGCGTAAAATGCACGACGATACGACAGAATGTCCATCATTGGGAAGTTCTTGATCAGACACTACAAACGCGACAGGATGAGCAAGGAGATCTAGACCAGAATGAGATGATGAGGATGTGCAGGCCATGATATTTATCTGTCGGTCGTAAGAAGGGAAAAGATGAGAGCAGCCAAATGAAAACATGGCCACAACCAAACATCAACAAATAATATAAAATATCCGGTATGATCAGGGGTACTCATGTCCCTCTAGCGAAACCAGTACCCTTAACAGGGTCCTGGAATATCACCACATGGTAAGTGATATATCATTGTCCTATACTTTAACTTACCAGCAGGGATATAACATGGATTTGCTTTAATTACAGTAATATGATATATCATATTGACACTATCAGCTGGAACTTTCCCTCGCATTATCCGACTTGATCCCATTGTCCGGGGTCTGCTGTGGGGTGTTTGACCTTTGAGACAATATAGTTAGACGTCAAGTTCGCCTTGCTGGTTGGTTGACATCTACATATTCCTGGACACCACACGCTCCTCGCTGGGCATTATTTGATCCCTGATCTACTCCAGGGTGCTTGACCTTTGAGACAACAGAGTCAGATGTCGAGTATACCATGCTAATTATTCAACACTTATATATTTTTATTAAGGTCTACCTTGATAGACACGGCAGGTTCCTCAGTCACTGTGTTCATGTGTGTCCATAAATCTATGGTCAGCTGAGTCTAACTTGCCACTTACTTGTTGTTCAGGAGGTCAGTATCTGCAGGTACAGGACGAGATCGTGGGGACGTGTTGTGCGTTATTTGTGCTGTGGTGGACATAGATGGGAGAAGGATGGCATGAATGGGGAAGTAGACAGTTTCAGCGCGACTACCCACATTTTTACTGCAAGCAAACCTTTCACACATACATGAAAAAAGCATGTTCTTGCATGTTGCGGCAGCCTTGTGGCTAGTGGCAATGGGTGCATGAGATCCCATAGAATGGAATACAACCTTCACTCAGACTCTATCTGACACTGGGCCAGGCGCTCATTGCTGCATTGGTTATCAATCCTCCTGCTCAATGCTGGTATTGACCACTGGAGTGAATGTATCTGTCCTTCAGCAAACCAGGACTGTTATAATGTACTATGACGATGAGTGAGAGGTAGGTGACCGCAGTGAAATGCATGCGATGATATCATGAGATAGGTCCCAGATTACATATTGGAGTCCATGATACAAGTGTGAACATCTTCGGTGGAAATCATTGTTGACTGTTGTTGTGCAAAGGCGTTGTACCTGATTTTTCATGAAAAGTTCAATCATCACTACCTCCAACAACCTGCAGGGTACATGCCATCTTGGTCAACGAAAAATCTTGAGGGTTCCGGTGGGACAATAAATTGGAAAAACGCCTCTTGCACGCTAGGGATTCGGCCTCTGCCGTTGGAGGGTCTTGCGTTTCTGAATTGTAAACACTTGAGTAGGGGCGCACATCCTGCCAGAGATAGTATGTTGAATTGGTCTCGGGCGTATTCATCAAAAGGATTTCATATTTGCAAATGCCTGAGTCGTCCAATATGCGGTTCTATACAGCGCAATGTAGCAGGAATCTCGGTTAGGCAAGGACCCTGGCTTACCATGGTCAAATGGATTGGATACTAGTTCACCATCTTCTCCAGCTGGAAACTCGATGTCTGCTGGGCGTCCTCCCAGCGCTTGACACAAAAGATACTCAGATGTAGAAAACGCAATACTATCTCTATGCTTGC